CCCAAGCTTCGGGGGTTTGTACAGCTGTTTTCAGAGGTACTTCTAGGGACCTGTAAATTTTCAGTTCTTCCAAAGTGGTATGATAAGGGGTGAGGTGTTTCCTCTCCACTGCCACAAGCTCCACCATGCCAGCACTCCTCCTCGCCCCAAGACCACCCCTCAGAACTGTGACCCAGATCCAAGCACCGGGGAAGCAAGAGATTCCTGCCTCAGCACTGGAAAAGAGATCCTTGCAATCCCCCTCTGATCAGCCACTTGATTCCCCCTCAGTCTGTGGGCTGGAAGCTCAGGAAACAGTCGCTGCCCCAGGCCGTGCTCGAGACTTGTGGCTGAGACCTAGCTCCTCTCTCACCACAGTCACAGATTTTTCCCACTGACCTTCGCAGTTGTCTTTGGCGTTCATGAGTTGAGAAGTCTGGAAACCATCACAACTGCCCGTGATTCAGTCCCCTGAGGCCTGCTCTGGGGTCGCTGCGGCCTGTGTGCCCACGCCGAACTGCGCTCCTCTCCCCGCCCGGCGCGATACACCTTTTTGATCAACCATCCAGGCTGTCTTTGGCTGGAAATTTGTTTCACTCTGTCTTTTTGTGGGTTCTGTTGCTTTAGAATTTGTTTAGAGCCATTTTTTTTAGGTATTTGGAGGGCTTTGGGAGAGAGTTCAAGACAGTCACTGCTTTTGCTCCGCCATCCTGCCTTTTCGTTGTGCTAGATTTTAATAAAGCTTTTCTTTAAACAATATTTTCCAATAACATGCAGAAAAATTTTTACATTCACTTTTTAAAATTTTGACATCCAAATTCTCTCTGTACCTCATTCTCCTTTCCTGTCCCTGAAAAGGCAAGCAATTTGATTATTAGCCATGTTGTGAAAGAAAACACAGACCAGCCCTCCAAAATACTCCCCCCCAACCCAAGAAAAATAAAGAAAGTAAAAAATAATGTTTCGACCTGCTTTCAGACTCCATCAGACTTTCTCTGGAGATGGATAGCATTTTTCACCAAAGTCTTTTGGAATTGTCTTGGATAATTGTACTGCTGAGTATAGCTAAGTCATTCACAATTGATTACCATCTGATATTGCTGTTAACTTTGGATGGATTCAGAACTGGTTGGATGGCCAGCCTCATAGAGTGATTGTTAATGGAAGTCTCTAGAATACCCCAGGGATCTACCTTTGGACCTGTACAGTTAAACATTTTTGATGAATTATTTGGATAAAGCTAGAAATGAAAGACTCTTTCAAATGGCACCAAGCTGAGAGGGTTAGCCATATTTACTGGATGCAGTAGCCTTGGCCTAAAACTAATAAAATGACATTCAACAAGGATAAATATAAAGTCTTATATTGGGATACAAAAAATCAACTTCACAAGTGTAAGATGGAGTGACATACTTAGATTACAGTTCTGAAAAAGATCTGGGGATTTTACTGAACTTACATGTTCAATATGAATTATCAAAACAATGTTGCAGTCAAAAAAGCTAATGTAGTCTTATGTTGCATTAAGAGAGAGGTTTAGTTTCAAGGAATAAGTTGGTGATAGTCCTCAATTCAACAGATATTATTTTTGATTTAAAAAATTCTGAACTTAACTCTTCAAAATGAAAATTTCCATTTGCAGAGGAATAGAAAAAAATGATTATAAATGAAATCATGAACTTCAATTATGAACAGCTTGTTTTTTATATAATTTGTTTTCAGAGCTGCCCTGCTTGTCTCTTTCTGAACTTCCTTTTGTTGTCTTCTGTGTGTTTTAAAAAATGCTTCCATGACCCTCTTTTCTTATTTCTTAAACACTATCCCTACCTTACCTTTCTACCTCAAGTCCATCTCTCCTATAAAAAGAAGAGAAACAATCCTTGTAACAAATGAGTATAGTCAAACAAAAGTAATCCATACATTTTCCATCTCCAAAAGTATGTCTCATTTGTCTAATTTGAATCTATCATCCCTCTGTCTAGAAGGTGGGTTGTGTGCTCATTACTGGTCCTCTGGAGTTGTGATTGATCATTGTATTGATCAGAGTTCTTAAGACTTTTCCAATAAGCAACCATTTATTCAATCAGTAGGCATTTATGAAGTGCCTGCTATGTCCTAGGCACTGTTCAACATATTGAGAATATAGATAATAGTTTGCATTTAATCATAGCACTTGTAGGCTTGCAAAATGCTTTAAGTACCTAATTTTCTTTGATCCTCACAGCAGATATAAGGTAGGTGCTGTTAGCAGAGGCAGCTGGTGACACAATAGATAGAAAGCTGGGTCTGGAGTCAGGAAGATCTCAGTTCAAATCCAGATGTGTACTAGTGGTGTGACCTTGGGCAAGTTACATAAGTCTTTATTTGCCTCAGTTTTCTCCGCTGTAAAATGGGAGTAATAATAACACCTATTTCCCAGGTAAATGAGATAGTATTTTCTGGTGTTATTGTCATTATTATGAGATAGTGATGATTAAATGAGATAGCTTTTTACAAAAAGCACTTAGCACAGGGCCTCCTATATAGTAGTAGGTGTCATAAATGTTTGTTCCCTCCCTTTCCTATTGTCTTCATTTTACAGGTAAGGAAATTGAGGCTTAGAAAAGTTAAGTGACTGGCTCATGTTCACATAGTGTTTGAGGCTAGATTTGAACACAAGTCTTCCTGACTTCAAGCCTAGTTTTCTATTCACAGACAAAAGTGAAGCAATCTCAAGGAGCTTACAGTGTATTAGGCGAGACCATCTGTACATAAATATATTCAAAATATATAGAAAATAAATTAAAGATAATGTTTTTGTGTTTCCCAGTGGGTAGAGGGAAGAGGTATTAGGAAGGTCTTATCTAGAAGGTGGCATTTGAGCTAATCTATAGACTACCAGGGATTCCCACATATAGCAATTGGGGAGTCTCCTACTGGCATGGAACTCTTTAAGTGTCTGCTGTATTCCAGTCATTGTGCTATGCGCATTGTATGTACCCTTTTATCCATCCTCTCCTCTTGGAGAGGGATTAGCTTCTGCTGTGAGCATTTAGTAATTTTTTTTGGCTATAATAGCATTATAATTATGCAGATGAGTGCAAATTTTGCTCTGTTCTCCATGCTTGCTGGAGCTATGTTCAAATGCCTAGAATGTTTTTCTTCACTATTACCTCTCAGAATTCCTGTCATCCTTCAAGATTTAGCTGAGGTGCCACTTTCTTTGTGAAGGCTTTCCTGATTCCCCCTCCCTTTCTCACTTTGTAAACTAGCTCTTTGTGCTCAGAGTACACCAGAGGCAGCTGGTGGCACAGTGGAAAGTTCTGGGCCTGGAATCAGGAAGACTTCATGTCATATCTAACCTGTAACACTTACTAGCTCTGTGACTCTGGGCATATCACTTAGCTTCTGTTTGCCTCAGTTTCCTCAACTATAAAATGAGGATCCTATAATAGCACCTATCTTGCAGTGTTGTTGGAGGATCAAATGAAGTAGTATTTGTAAAAGTGCTGAGTTCACAGTGTGTGACACATAGTTGGTGCTGTAGAAATGCCTCTTTCCTTCCCTTCCCCCCAATTTATATTTATATGCATAATTTATGTATATATGTATGATTCATAATTTATTTGTATATGTATAATATCCTTCCAGTGGATTGTAAGCTTTTTGATTTTTGTCTTTGTATCCCTAGTGCCTTGTGTGTAGTTAAGAGCTTAGTAAATGTTAAATGGATTTGAAGGAAGAAGACAGTGTGAAAATAGTTGGGGTTGGTCATAGGGTCATTAGTGTCTTTAGAATTGTTTCAGCAGAATGGTGCAACTTTGCTGAAAATGGAGTAAATGATTGGGGAGGCAGATACTAGGTAGCAAGTATAGGCCTTTTCTAGGACTTTGGCAGTAAAATGGAAAATAACTTAAAGGCAGTGTCATTGAAAAGGGTTTTTTTTTTGTGGTTGTTTTTGATTTTTGGGTAGGGGTAGCTTGACCATGTTTATTAGCTGCGTAAAAAGAGCCCATAGAGGGTAGACACATGAAAGAAACTGGATGCTTGGACACAATTGTGGAGAAAATTGGAAGAAATATATTTGAGGATTCACTTGTTAGGTTTAACAATGGAGAGCCGGCTTTTCTCCCTGACACTGGAGGAAAGGAGGAGTATATTGAGTGAGATTGTTTGAAAGGAGTGGAGGAGGACAATTGAGAGAGTTCATATCACATGACCTCTGTCTTCTCAGTAAAGTAGTAGGTAAGGTTTCCTGCTGATCCCAGAGAAAGAAGTGAAATTTAGGGCTTGAGATGAAATGAGGTTTGGAGTAGTAACAGTAGGAGGTCAGTAAGAGATAAGAGGATTTTGATGGAATAGTAAAGGTCCAGTTGAGATAGCAAATCTTTGTTTTTGAACCCTGTCAATATGATTTCATAATTTCTTTTGGGAATGTTTGGCAGCTTTAGGGATGGCAGGGATTAATTGTAAGTAGATCAGAAATCTGAAAAGTTAAGAGGAGCAGGGATTCCAACTTGGAGTCATTATTGAACTATCTAATGGTAGGCTCAAAATTGAATAAAGCGGCTGTGAAGACAGAATGAAGGGACTAAATATCATACTGAGGGCCAAGAACAAGTGTGGAAGGGGTAGGAAATTGTTGAGTAGAAAGAAACGAGATTTCCATTAAAAGGGAGCAATTCTTGATTAAGAGGAGCTAATTTTTGAGTTGGAAGGTGTTGGAAGTGATGAAATTTGAGAGCCTACCTTGGTGTATCGATGGTAGACATGAATGAGATTATGATTATTTCATAGTGCTAGATTGTATAGCAGTATCTCAGAAGATTTGCTACATTTTTAAAAATGTCTAATGTGGAAGGTACCTTTGACATTTGACCAGATATATGAGGGGCATTTCCTATTGCTTTATCTATTTTTACGTGGAAAAACTCCACTTATAATCTGATAATGAATTATTTAGTAAAACAATTGAATAGCAGTTATTTAGGTTTATATTGATTGATTAATGTAATTAGAAAACTTTTTTTTTCCTTCTCTAGGCCAGATGTCAGTAGACTTGCTGGAAATCAACGCATGTCAGATATTTTCATGAAAGAACTGTCTTACCAGCAAGAGAATATTGACAGATTGCCAACTGAGAGTTTCAGAGCTACACATTCCATTCAGGGCAAAGATGTTTTTGGAAGGATTTCACCACTGGATCAGGTGAAAGGTATTTCCTAGCATTGAGATATTATTGCGTGCATTAGATATTTTACATTCTTTTGTGTAGTCTAGTTCTGGTGACTTGTGATGTGGCGAAATAGAAAACAAAAAATGCTAAGTTCTCAGGAATGAATAATAAATTTTACCTCACTTGTCCCTAGCACTTTAAAGTTGACAATATGAGTCTAGAATTAGGAAGAGCTGTTAGAACTGGTGGCAGATATTTGAGAATTAATTGTATAGAATTAGTAGTTTAGAAAAAGATAGTTATGGTAAAGTGGGAAAAGCACTACATTTTGAGTCATTGAGTATCTGGGTTTAGATCGCCTTCTGTTACTAACTTACCTGCATAATCCTGGGCAAGTCATTTTACCTCTCAGAGCATTAATTTTCTCTTTAAAATGAAGGTGTCTGCAGGGTTTCTGAGGTCCAGACCAGTTTTAAGTCTATACTTTCCCCACAGTAACCTTATAAAGGATGAGGTGGAAGAATTCCTATTTTTATAAATTAGTAAATTGAGGTAGAGAAGCTTTGATTTGCCCAGTTAAACAGTTGTTAAATGTCAGAGGCAGGATATAAACTTGACTCCCTTGACTTCAACCATAGTCTCTTGGTATTACACATGCTTCTGCCACGTTGTCATATTTCTATTTGAGAGAAACAATTATTTGGCTAGACTTACACGTCAGTTATTTTTCTGTGTCCGTAAAACTTAGTTGCTAGTTACACAATGTTAGTATTTATTTACAGATTTATCCACTGATGTGTGTTTCCTCCCACCTTTGAGAAGCAGAGAAAACAAGGTAAAATATTAAATATTTTGCTAACAACTAGAAGAAATTAATGGTGAATAGTAATACTTTTTGTCTTTTAATCTTTTTCTTTTGACCAAACTTTAGGCATTTTTTAATAATAATAGTCATTTTAATGTATTAAGTGAAAATATAGCTGTAAAGCATCTTTGACATTTGTTATGATTTACTTTTTCTTTTGTGAGAGGGTACTTTCCAGATCTGGTGATTTCAGTGAGAAAACCAACTCTTGGGGTGGAAATTCCCTCCACTGATGTACGTTGGCAGCTCATTTTTAATTTATGGGCTTAACTGCTAAGGGTACCAAGATGTTAAATCAGTGTTGTCAATTAACTAGTATGTTTAGCAAGATTTGAAACCAGATCTTCTTGTCTCCAAGGCCAGCTCTTTTTTTTTTTTAAATTCAAAATTAACATCTTCCCTCATGCCTCCAAAGGGAATGGTAAAGGGGAAGAGAAAAAGCCCTTGTAACAAATATGAAGAGTGAAGCAAAACAAATTCCCATATTGGCCATGTCCAAAAATAGGTGTCTCATTCCATATTTAGTCCATTACTTTTCTATCAGGAAGTGGGTAGCATTCTTTTTCGTTGGTCCTGTGCAGCCATGGCTGTTTACTGCACTGGTTAGAGTTCTTAAAGTCTTTCAAAATTGTTTGTTTTTAAATTGATGTTACATATAAATTGTTCTCTGTGTTCTGTTCACTTAACTCTGCATCAGATATCGTATAAATCTTCCCAGGTCCCTCTGAAATTTTCCCCTTTGTCCTTTCTTACAGCACAGCTGTATTCTATTATATTCGTATACCATAATATGCTAAGCCATTCTCTAATTGATGTTCAGTTCACTTGTTCAGTTGTGTCTGACTCTTCCTGACCCTGTAGATGATGGCATGTCAAGCTCTTCCAACCTGAAGGGCTTATCGTCCGATGTCATATCTTTTAGCGTTTTAATGCCATCCATGGGGTGGTCTTGGCAAAGATACTGGAGTGGTTTCTTATTCCCTTCTCCCAGGGTTCACTTTTTGTCTTCACTATGACCTGTCCGTCTTGGGTAACCCTGTGTGGCATAACTCATAGTTTCATTGAGCTATACAAGCCTCTCTGCCATGACAAGGCAATGATCTAAGAGGGGAGTTGATGCGTACTCCTTTAATTTCCAGTTCTTTGCTGTCACAAAAGTAGCTGTTAAAGTATTTTTGTATATGTAGTCCCTTGTCCCTTTTCTTTGATGTTTTTTGGGTAGAGCAAAGGTAGTCATCTGTTTACTGTATCATGTCCCTCAGTTTGAAATTGAGAACCAAAAGTTAAGTAACTTTATAGTGCTTTGTTTTATCATATACCTAAGTGAATTTAGTTGTATTTTTATTCTGTAGATATTGCTATTTTTTTTTTTTTTTTTGCTTTTTTTTGGTGAGGCAATCGGGGTTAAGTGATTTGCCTAGGATCACGCAGCTAGTAAGTGTCAAGTGTCTGAGGCTAGATTTGAACTCAGGTCCTCCTGACTCCAAGGCCAGAGCTCTATCCACTGCACCACCTACCTGCCCCTACCTATTGCTATTTTTAAGTGACTAAGGGAAGCATAGATGCAGCAAGATCCTTATATTCCTTAAATTACATATGGTGGGTGATTTCGTTGCTTTTATGATGTGAGAGATCCTACAGGGTCATGAATAGATTTATAGAAAGATTGGGATCCATAACACTTATATACATAAATAGCTTATATACTTACATATACATGTATGTATGTATTCATGTATATGTGAATCAACATGCAAAACTGTAGTTTTATTAGCTTAAAACATCACTGAAACTTGGAACACCTTGTATATTGACCTTGAGTATCAAGCCTTATCTTACCATACTACATACAGATGGAATGTCCTGAGAGGGAGGGATAGAGGTTGGGGAGGAGCAAGGTGAATTCAATTTAGTGAGCATTTGAGTGAGTAGAAATGACAAAATGTGGTTATTGATTGGTTATATCAGATGAAGCAGCATGAAGAATCATTGATAATGCTAAGAATGTGGACCTGGAAGTATGGTGGTGTTCTTGACAGAAATAGGGAGGTTTGGTAGAGAAGACAATTTGGAGGGAAAAAATAATGAAGCTGTCTTGGACATGTTAAAAATTGAGTTGTTGCCCTATACCAAGATAAAGTAAAAATGTGTATGTGATTTAAATACAAAGGCTGATACTATAAGCAGACTAGGAGAGCAAGGAATAGTTTACCTATCAGATCTATGGAGGAGGGAAGAATTTATGGCCAAACAAGAGATAGGAAATGTTATGAAATACAAAATGGATGAATTTGATTACATTAAATTGAAAAGTTTTTGCACAAACAAAGCCAGTGCAACTAAGATTAGAAGGGAAGCAGAAAGCTGGGAAACAATTTTTACAGCCAGTGTCTTTGATGAAGGCCTCATTTCTAAAATATATAGAGAACTGAGTCAAATTTATAAGAATACAAGTTGGGCAACTAGGTGGTGCAGTGGATAGAGCACTGGGCCAGGAGTCAGGAGGACCTGAGTTCAAATTCGGCCTCAGACCAAACACTTGACACTTACTAACTGTGTGACCCTGGGCAAGTCACTTAACCCTGATGGCCTCAAACCTCCTCCTCTCAATAAAAAAAAAAAAGAATACAAGTCATTCCTTAATTGATAAATGGTCAAAGGATGTGAATAGGCAGTTTTCAGGTGAAGAAATTAAAGCTATCTATAGTCATATGAAAAAATGCTCTAAATCACTATTGATTAGAGAAATACAAATCAAAACAACTCCTGAGTTACTACATCACACCTATCAGATTGGCTAACATGACAAAACAGGAATAGGATAAATGTTGGAGAAGATGTGGGAAAATTGGAACACTAATGCATTGTTGGTGGAGTTGTGAAATGATCCAACCGTTCTGGAGAGCAATTTGGAATTATGCCCAAAGAGTTATAAAACTGTGCATACCCTTGATCCAGCAGTACCACTTCTAGGTCTGTATCCCAAAGAGATCACAAAAAACGGGAAAAGGACCCACATATACAAAAAAAATTTATAACAGCTCTCTTTGTGGTGGCAAAGAATTGGAAATTGAGGGGATGTCCATCAATTGGGGAATGGCTGAAAAAGTTGTGGTATATGAATGTAATGGAACACTATTGTGCTATAAGAAATGATGAGCAGACAGACTTAAGAAAAACTTGGAAAGACTTATATGAACTGACGCAGAGTGAAATGAGCAGAACCAGGAGAATATTGTACACAGTAACAAACACATTGTTCAATGACTAATCTTGATAGACTTGGCTCTTCTCAGCAATGCAAGGATCTAAGAAGTGTCAAAAGACTCACAATGGAAAATGCTATCCACATCCAGAGAAAGAACTATGGAGTCTGAATGCATATGGAATTATTTGCTCTCCTTTTCCCAACAACTGCCCATTGGATTTTTTTTTTAAATAGGCAGTTGGGGTTAAGTGAGTTGCCCAGGGTCACACAGCTAGTAAGTGTCAAGTGTTTGGTCTGAGGCCGGATTCCATTGGATTTTTCAAACTGAATGTCTTACTGACAACTCGAATATTAACATGTCCAAGACAGATCATTATTTTTCCTCTCTGAATTGTCCTCTCTACCAAAGTTCCATATTTACTCTCTTACTCAGTGGATCTCTATTGCCACTAGAATAAAATATAAACTACTGATTGGTTTCTAAAGCCCTTCACAACTTAAATCCTAAACCTCTCTCTCTAGTCTCATTTTACATTATTTCCTTCTCATCAAATAGGCTACCTCTCTGCTGTTCATTTAAGACATTCCTATCTCCTAGTTTCATATCTCTAAACACTGGCCATCTTCGAAGTCTTCCTTCCTCATGTTGGCTTCATAGAATTCCTCACTTCTTTCAAGACTAAGTTCAAGTATTATTTTCTATATGAAGCATTTCCCTATCTCTCCAATTGGTAATGCCCTCTCTTCCAAAATACCCTGTATTTTGTATTTTTCTCAAATATTTATCCATTATATAAATTTGTATTTACATAGATAGCAGGCATCCCCTAGACCAAAGGTGTTAGATATTCTGCCTGCAAGCCACATGCTCCCCACAAACTCCCAAGTATGATCAAACTAGACTAAAATGTAATTGAGAAATATTTAATAAATAAAATATAATATGCAGTGCACAGGGATCCTTATATGCAGATTAGTGACCCCCATTTCTATTTGTTTGACACTACCCTAGACCACAGGCTGTGTTTTCTATTCCATCCACTTTCTCCTTGCAGTCATCAGTCAGGGAAACCACTCTCGTGGCAAAGGAACCAGCTCTGCCCACCAATTTCTGACTGCCTCCTACAGAACAGGCAAGTTAGCTTAATTGAAGTAGCAAGGCCTCCTTTGGGAGAGAATGGAGGCTATATATGCCAGGCAGATGAAACCAAAGCCATTACCCAATTACTGTCTCTCTTCAGCCCTGATGGAGAAAACTCAGGACTTTGCTCCTGAGAATAGTGGCATTGCTTCAAGCATAGGCTGTGCAGCCCTCATTGAGGGGAGTAGTCCTTATAGAAAAGGGACTCATCTTCCTTACCACTAATGCCTGCCATTAATGAGAATGTAAGCCTGAGAGCCCTCGGAGCATTTACAGATTATTGGTCTTGCTTACAACCTGTAGATGCAATCTGGTAGCTGCTTATTTAGATGCTGCTTTGCCTACTCAGGAGTCACAGCCATCAAAGTCCTTAGCAATACCAAGTGATTCAACTTCAGAAATGATATGATTTTATCAGTAGAAACAACATTAATGAAGATATGTTACTATTGCTTTGTGGTTGTACTCTAAGGATCGTGAAATCTTTCTGTCTGATTAGCAGCTGAAGCCTCTTATATTTATTTTTTCCTTCATTAGAACATGAGGTCCTTGAGACCAGAGAGTGTCTTCCTTTTCTATTTGTATCCCTAACCCTTACTATAGTGCTTTTACATAACGAGCACTTAAATATTTTTTCAGTTATTTATAAGTGTTGTCTTCTCTAGAATATCTTGCTCCTTCAGAGTAGGAATGCTTTAATTTTTTTTGTCATTGTATCTGTCCCTGGCCTCTAGGACAATGCCTGACATGTAGAGAGTGATAAATAAATGCTTGTTGATTTATTCTAGTAGAGTCTTCTAAGTAGTTGGTTAAGTGTTATAAGCATTCCTGGAAAAGCTGTGGTCTAGTCTTTCTCTGCCTTATATCAGTGTCTTAGAAATGAACAAAACAATTATTTTCCTGTTATTTCCCTGTAGATTGATCTCCGAAAACCACTATTTGAAGAAGAAAGAAGCCTTTTAGAAAATGAGAAGTTATTATCATTTAGAAGCTTGGAAGACTCTTCTGGTATAGTATATACACCATTTAAGCATTTTAATCTTGCTTTATAACTCCTTCAGATTCTGGCTTTTTGTTCATATTTATAGCCAATATGGCATCTCAGAATCTCAGAATTGGAAGTGACCTCAAAAGCTGTCTAGTACAGCTAAAACCCTTTCAAGAATCTCCTTGGCAACCTCACTAACATAGTCATTTGGCCTTTGTCTGAAGAAAGACTTCTAGTGATGGAGAGGCTGCTTTCTCAAGAAGCACTCTATTCACATTTTTGACAGCTCTCGTTGTTATTCTAGGGTTCCCTTACTCTGAGTCTAAATCTGCTTCTCTGCAACTTTTCCTTGTTCTAATTCTGTCCTCTGAGGTCAATCAGAATAAGTCCTGTCATGTCTTTCATATGACACCCCTTCAAATACTTGATAGCAACTATCACGCTTCCTCTGAGTTTTTCTCTAGGGGCCCCCCCTTTTTTCTTTTACCCATTCTTCCTATTTTTCCTATAATATTGGTTCCCGTGCCCTTCCCACTGATGTCTCCCTTCTCTGGAGATACTTTAGTTGGTTAATATATTTCCTAAAATATGAATCATTGAGTAATCTGATTTAATCTTATGTTCTTGTTTGACTGTTAACATTTTTTCTGTTTTGAAACTTGAAAAATTGTTCATCTTTGTAAATCTGGGCTTTGAAGATAATTATGTATTTAATTAACTTGGGTTTTTAATTTTTAGCACTGCTTATTTTCCAAGAGTTTGGGGAGGGGGTGGCACATAGTTTGAACCTGTGATGAAGCAGTATGCCCACCTGTGGAAATCCCTTCTGATTCTGACAGGCAGTGCCTCTGTGACTTGTACAGTCTTAGTCTTTTGATACTGAGTGATTAAGTGACTTGCTTATCACCCCACAGTACATATCACAGGAGGATTTGAATTTGGGTCTTTCTGACTCAGAAGCTGATACTTTATTAACTATGTATGCCCCATTGTATCTCTTAGGTAAGGAATTGTGATTTATATAGCTAGAAGGAACCTCATAGGTTATCTAGTTAAAACACCTCATTTTTCACATGATAAAACTAAGGCCCAGATAAGTTAAGACGACTTGTCCAAGATCATAGATAGTAGGTATCACATGTATGATTTGAATCTGGTCTTTAGAGGCAGTGCTTTCTTCTCAAACTTGCAGGAACAAAGTATTGTCCTCTAAAAATGTTTTATAGGATGTTAGTTCTGTCTAATCCATCCCATTTTGTTAAACCTAAAAGGTTGTGATGTAATTTAGTTTTTGAAAAACGTAAGGGTAACAAGTCTGGATAAAATAACTTTTCTCTACTTTGCATCTTCTGTAAATAACTCCCCACTTAAAATCTGTATCATTGTAACATTAAATTATTTCGAATATGATTATTGGAGTTTATTTTAGCATAATAAGTATAAGTGATTAGTTTTCTGCAACCATTTAAAAAAATCATTATAAAAAATTAGCAAAACAAATCCAGTTCCAGTAGCAAACTTCATTATGACGCATTGCATTTTCCTTTGATTTTGTTTTGTATTTAAGCTGGCAACATATTTATTAACCAGCAGAAATCTTGCCCACAGAAGTGATTTTTTTGTAAATACTACCAATGATGTGGGCTGCTAGGTGGTGCAGTGGATAGAATGGCAGGCATGGAGTCTGGAACTCACATCTTTGTGGGTTCAAATCTGGCCTCAGACACTCACTAGCTGGGTGACTCTGGGCAAGTCACTTAAACCTGTTTGCCTCTCTTCCTTCATCTATAAAATGAGCTGGAGAAGGAAATGGCAAGTGACTCCATTGTCTTTGCCAAGAAAACCCCAAATAATTAATGTGATTTGAAAATGCTAACAGCTAAATGCAGTGTATCAGCATAAACATAGATGTCATCCAAATGACTGCTTAGGACTAAATCATAGCATTAAAAACATTATCTTGATTTTTTTTCTCAAATTCTTTCTTCAAACATAGTGTTTTTATTCCCATTTCTGGAAATACTAGTTATTCTGAGATTTGTTGTTCCAGATCTATATTTGAGATCAGTTATATTTTAGCGTGACTATCATTTGTCTTCTTAAGTTATGGATCATTCTTTCATTTTATTTTTGTGTTTCATTAATTTCTTGACTTCACTATGTTTGCTTTTTGCTACTTCCAAAAGTGTTTCTTTCTCTTATGTTGCCCAGCTCAAGTCTTCCATTCTTCTGTGTATCAGTTTTCTATTCCAGTGTATTTTTCAGCGTTTAATAAGTTATAATAGTTGCCATATTACCATGAATTTTTCAGTAGTCTTGTCCTGTAATTGTCTGATGTAGCAGATATTTTTATGGTTGGGGATTTTCTTTGCTTTGCTCACTGTCTTTCAAGTTTATGTTTCTAAAGCTTTTTTCTCTTTAGTAATTTCTCTGGTGGTGGTTGTGGGAATTAATTTAAGTAGGGACCCTAGATGTTATTCATTCTGCAGTTTTTTGCAATTTCCATTTTAAATGGAAATGACTATAAACTCATACAGGTGAACTCTAGTTATTATAAACATCTTAGTTATTTTTAGTAGTCGTTTTGCAGGAGGATTAAAATTAACCCAGATTCTTAAAGGTTCTTTTAACCTGGCGATAGCTGGACTTTTTGTGGTTATTCTTTTTGATTGTTGCTCTAGACTTCCCGTTTAGACCTTTTTGTTGTCTAAAGATAGTTTTGTAGGGTGCTTTTCACATCCATTTTCAGCAGAAAGCTCATGCTGCCTTCTTACTACAAATTACTTTTCACTTAGCTTCTTTACAGTCACTTCTTTCAGGTCCATTCTAGTGTAGACCTAGAATTCTGCATTGGACACAATGGCATTTTCTAGATTAGTAATGAACTAGATTTGGAGTTAGGTGAACCTGTTCATTGGAACTAAACTCTCCTTGAGCTTGAGGGTTTTAAAAACTGTTCTTCCAGTTACATTTGCTGTGATCCGGTATTACTTGAAGGGTGGTGCAAAGATGATAGTCTCCCTCAGTTTTCCTCTCCCTGTGTAGTATAATATCAACCTAGATTGCATGATAATGGTGATAACAATAATAATAACTGAGTCTGCCTCCACTCATCACCCTCATCATCTCCTGTCTACATTATTGCAATAGCCTGCTGGAGGGTCTGCCTGACTCAAGTCTTTTCTCCACTCTAAACCATCTTTTATTATCTTAGCTTTCTTATTGTCTTATATTTTGTTGGTGTATAATCATGTCCTCTGTAAAAATATTTTAGCCTTACTATTACTAATGTGAAAATAACCATCCTCCTGTCGTATTAAGGAAATTCCTCCAATTCTTATGCTTAATTTCAAGAAAACCTCAAATTAGAAACTATATTTTATTTGTATTACCTTACTTAAATACTTTAGTGGTTTTCACATTGCTGTTTATTTAGCTGAATTTTCTGATATTGAACTATGCTTGAATTCTTGGGATAAATTCCACTTGGTCACATTGAATATTTTTGTCAGTTTTTCTGAAAGTTGAGATGGTAAAATAAATTTCCTATGCCATTGAAATGAATTAAGCTGTGTATTTTTCTCATGAAAATCAACTTCACTTCTCTAACAGCTTCTAAAACCCATTCCTTTTTTGCATTATCATAAGATGAAGACATTGATGATGAAGAGTTTTATGATGATCATTTGGAAGCATATTTTCAACAGTTAGCATCCCCAGAAATACTAAGAGAAGATCAAGAGGAACAGGGGCTTCCAGAATCTAGCCCAACTTTTAGGCTATCAAATGATCATCCCAGCCAGGTATATTTAAATCAGACTTCTTGGTTCTCTGACTTAATATTGCAAAAAAATCTATTTTACATAATATTACTACTTTCTTTAGATTTTTACTAGGTTAAGGCAACTGTTTTTTGGTGAGGCAGTTGGGGTTAAGTCACTTGCCCAGGGTCACACAGCTAGCAAGTGTGTGAGGCTTCATTTGAACTCAGGTCCTCCTGACTCCAAGGCCAGAGCTCTATTCACTGGACCACCTAGTTGCCCCTGGTTTGTTTTTTTTTTTTAACTTCATTTTCCACAGATTTGATATAATAAGAAATATGTGCCTCCTTTTGGTCTACCATATTCTTGATAAAAGCTTTGAGCAACTCACTTATTTTTTTGTTTGTTTGTTTTGTTTTTTTCTAGACAATGGGGTTAAGTGACTTGCCCAGGGTCACACACCTAGTAAGTGTCAAGTGTCTGAGGCTGGATTTGAACTCAGGTCCTCCTGAATCCAGGGCTCTATCCACTGCACCACCCTGAGCAACTCACTTTTAAATGAACCTGTTTTATGAACTTGGTCTACTTTCAATCTATCCAGTTTGCCACCTAGCTGCCCCTTACTTGGTCTACTTTCAAAGGACTAATACATACATATATTTGTTATAAAATGCAGTCTTTTAGGGAACCAGAATTTGCTCTTAATTAAGTATTGAATTGCCTGCTGCTTGTGTATATTAGGTATAGATACTTAATTCCCAGATCATCAGAGTGACAGTTATACTCTACTATTTTGAAGGCATATTTATATCTTTGAGAGAGTGGAGAAGTTAGGAAGACTTTGGTTTAAGTGTCCTGGCTCTGGCTTTCTGGTACTCCCTTTTTTATGTTGTTTCACAAATAACTCTGTTTTGCGTCCCCTGCTCTGAAGTAACAGTTCTTCCATTTAAGCTGTCACTTTGAATATAGTCAAATGAGCATGGTATGTTGTTATTAAAGGACATTTTTAAACTAACGTTTTTCCAGAGAAAGAAAGTGCCTCTTCAAAGGATAAATATATTGAAGACATACATCCTTGACTGTTTAAGACATGCACACACACAGTTTTATCCTAAAGATTTTTTTTTTATAAAACTGCATTTAACAAATCCACAGATCATAACAGTTCTTTACAGTAAAAAAAAAAGGTTTATATTGTCTTTAAGGTGTTTTTTTTTTCAATTTTTTTTTGTGTTTCTCAGGAATTTTCAGATTTGATTTTTAAAAAACATCAAATTACATATTTTTAAATTAAGGCATTGGTATTCTTTAAACAGGTAAATGAAAATAATAGACCAAGTTATAGACCCAAATCAGAAGATAGCATCTCTGTATGTTCTCTTGGAACACAAATTGTTATGAAATCTGAACTTAACTCCAGACAGTGTGAAGAGAGCCCTTTTGATCCAGTTGTCTCTGGTAGGTATTGAAATTTTTTCCTTCATTATTAGAATTCCTTTTAACTTTTCTTTTGCTTTTGTTGCTCAACTTATGTGGTTTATTATTTGGGGGAAGAAAAGAGGCATTGCTGAATTTTTGTGGGACTTAGAAAAAGTGAACAACCTCCAAAGCTTTAAAGGTAAGTATTCCTTTAAAAAGAGTGTTTGCAAATGATAATTCCTCTAAGTACTGAATTATTAAGTACTTTATTAATAAGGCTATTCAAATCAAATATAGTGCAGCATTATGAAAAAAGAAGTAGCAACATTTTTTGCAAAATTACCATTTTATGTTTTTAATCATAGTTTAGTTAGATTAGCCTAATTATCCAGTGTTATTTGTATCTGGCTGTTAAGTTTTTAGTCTTGGAAAATAGGTTTTAAGTTATATGTATAATATTAATTCTGATATGATTTTCCAAGAGCCTTACTTATCAAATCTTTTTGTCTGCAAAGTGTATTACCACTGCAGTCTGCATTACAGCCTCAGTTGCTCTATAATCCCTACTCCCCCTTACACTTAAGCCGTGCTCATTCCTGCTTTTCCCCTCCAACCTAAAGAGCAATAGGAAATTAAGATGGTAAAGCAGCTAGGTGGCACAGAGAATAGAGCTCTGGACCTACAGAATAATCAGTAAGGCTAAAGTTCAAATCCAGGCTCCGACTCTTATTTGCTGTGTAACCTTAGCCGAGTCACTTAACCTCTGTCTGCTTCAGTTTCCTTATCTGTACTTTAATAGTACCTGTCTCTCACAGTTGTTGTGAGGATCAGCCAAGATGTTTGTAAAGTGCTTTGCAAGCCTTAAATCACTATATAAATGCTAGCCATTATTGTTATTATGACTTCAGTGTATTATGACATTATTAACAGACTAATAAATTTATAGGATAGTAAAATTAATCATGAAACTTAAACTTTACAACACTGATTTTTTTTCTTGTACTTTGCAGAGAATGAAGGCTGTATTGAAGAGGGTAAAAGAAATACAGATGATGTGCCATTGTTTTCTTCTAATACATGGGGAATTGAAAAAAACGGACCAAGGGAAGAAAATGATACTTCAGTATATAATCCTTCAGTGGATAATGTTCCGTATTGTGAGGTTGGTCAACTTTGGTTTCTTTTTCATTTTTTATGGGGAAAATATTTGAGTGAATTACTTTTAGGTCATTCAGATGAAATAAGCTTAAAAACTATTTTGCTCAAATGTTATACCATCATGTTATAGCCCCGTGTCCAAAATTTAGACATATTTAGCTCTCACTTTTTAAAAATAAGTTTTATTGGTGCCTTTTGTCTTTGTTAGTCATTTCAACGCCCTTCCCTATCCCCTTATTATAACTTCTCTACTGACTTAAAAACAAAAAAATCTAATAAGTAAAAACATCTGAAATAGTGACTATTTATTAGCATATACAATAATCTGCCTTAAGCTGTCCTCTTCCTCTGTTATGATCATGTGCAAGACATATTTGAATTTCAAAGTTTTCCTGAGACTTTCATTGGTTTTTTAGTTATTCAAAATTGGATTTTCTTTTAGTAATGTTTTCATTTACATAGTTTTAGTGATTGTATATGTTGTCCTTTTCATTCTGCTAATTTTACTGGGTTTTAACTTACACAGATTTTCCCTTCTTAGAATTCCCTCTATTCTTCATTTCTTTGTGCACCATACCCTAGCTTTTCTGATTCATTTCCCATTTAATGATAACTTACTTTGTTTCCACAAAGAGTGTTGCTGTAAATATTTTATTATATATTGAATTGTTGATTCAGTCTTTGACTTCCTGGAGTATATGAACACTACTGGCACTGCTTGGTTCAAAGGGTGTGGAGCTGTCCTCTCTTTCAGCTTTTATCTTATCTCAGTGGTATCAACTTTCTAACCCTAAATGTGTTTTAAACTATGTACACATATATGTACACACACATGGACTTTGATTCTTTATCTTTATAATAATATAGCCTTATTTCCTAGTATATTATGTTGCAAAATATGTGGATACTTTTTTATGTGTTCTTTTTATTCTCAGTTCAATTCTGTGATATGTATTTTTAGTAGTAGTTCTATTTTATAGGTGATGAAACTGGGTTACAGTGAAATACAGTCTAGTCACTAAGTCACTTTAGCTCTGTGGTATCTTTTTGATCCCTTCCCCCTAATATTTTTTGGTACCACCCTAATTAAGACCTCATGCCTAGATTGGATTACTCTTGTTTCTTTAGCTTTTAGAATTTTTGTCCCCTCCATTCCTGTACTGTTACATAAATGCTAGATTAATTTTCCTAAAGCACTCTTCATTATGCTGCTTCCCTTATTCAAAATTAATGAATCATTTTTATGATAGAGTTCATATAGAGTCTGAGATTTAACTACTCTTCATCTCAGTAGGCGCTCTACAAAATAAATAGTCCTTCCTTAATTTTTGGGCCAACTTCAAATTTTTTGAGACCTTCCCTGATTTGGCTTTTTACTTCCCTTTTATACACAAAATATGTTCTTTCTCGCTTTTGATCCTCTTATTTGCCAGAGGGCAAAGCTCAGGTCTTTCTGAGTCCCTGGTGACTAAGCTACCTTGCTTTATGTAATCTAAAAACTCCTGGGGCAGATTATGGTTCTGTCCCATAATTTAGCACTTCACTTAACCGTGTCTGGGACCTGACTTTGAGCAAAAAGGTCTTTTGCCACCTAAGTTAACCTCACAGAGTCCTTGCACTAAAGCTCATGTACTTCTTCACTGGAGATGTCCTCACTCAAAGCTTGTCTTCTCTTAGCTTATCAATTTATTAAGTTGGTTATAGATTTTCTATCCCCTAGCACATTAGAAACAGCAAATCAGAGCAGAGAGACGTAGAAGCAGGTACACTATTAAAGCAAGAAGTAAGGAATGACAGCTGCTAAGGAGGGAAGAGAGAAAAATTGAAAAGCATATGTAAGATTGGTCTAACAGTTCATAGGTGAACCTCTTATCATGGCGCTATAGCTTTTTACATTGTTCTGAATGCCAATTATTTAGAAAAGTTTACTTTTTATACTATATTGATTTTATTGATAAAAATACTTTAGTTTAACTTAGAAATTTAGAATAACCAATAGAAGACTTCTGTTGCTTTGGGTCTGTGTATTCTGAATGATTTGTGGAAAGAGAAAAGGTTATTAGGTATCTTAATAGAGGATGTTCCCACACTGATTAATGAGAGATCTAGTTAAGGATTTAAAAAAAATTAAGAAACTTTGCTGTATGTGAATTTAGTGGATTTCATCAGTGTAGACGTTTCTTTTGTCAGTACAGATCCATGTAGAATTCTGTAGTAAAATGAGTTTTGAATTTGTAGTCTGACGTCCTGGGGTCTAATCTTGACTTTGATACTTAGGGCCTCTGTGACCTTGGGCAAATTAATTCCCCTCTTTGAGACCCAGTTTCTGTATCTGACAAAGGAGGTGAAAAAGATGAACTTTGAGAACCTTGTTTTAAATTTGTGATGCTATTAATCTCTTTTTGGAATGTTGACAGTATCTTCCCAAAAATCCTTCATAGAAGATATATCTACCTTTGTATACAAGGCCTTTCTTTAGACTTTGGAACATTTTGTAACAGTCATTGTAGCATTCAGGCAATTACTTGCTCTTGCTAAATGATTGGTCCATTCCTTTTCTGATAAATTTCTTAAGTAGCTTTTGCTCGATTCTTGAGTTCAGTTCACCATTGGTAATACGTTGTAGCTTACAGATATCTGCCATTTGTCTCTCATTGCTTCTTTGGTTCACTGGCAGTTTTGATTGTGGTGGTTTGTGATTAAGAGTCATTGATGGAATATTGGTATTACTATTTAACTGACTTGGATTTAAAAAAAAAACAAACCCAAAACACTGCCGCAGAGGGGATATTGTTGCATTGTAGACAGTTGATGAGTTTAGCATAAAACTTGATCTACTTTATTTTTAGGACACAGATATTAATCAAGGTAATTTTGATCTTCACCCCTTAAAATTGGGGGTACAGTCTGCTCATCAAAATAATATAACTCCTAAAATATTCATTGAAAAAAATGTGGATACACATTCTGTGGAACTTCTTGATAATGGATTTAGTCCAGCTCATGCTTACTGGTCACCTACTAATGAAAGGAGAATTTGTGGGAATTGGAACTCCGGTGAAAAGAATAATAAAGGTAATTTTTTTGTTTTAGAAATCAAGTGTATATCAGATATTTCACTGATAGGCATTTTAGTGCGAAGCGTACAAATAGATTTTTTTGTCTCTTAATATCACACAAAGCTATAGAGAATTTCAATGAGCCTTAAAAAGATGACTTTTATGTTCTACCCTGTCATACCAGAGTAACAAGTGTAGTTTTTTATAGATTTTAAGATGATTATGCCCTTCTAGACGCTTGGGACACAAGGACAAAAATGAAACTATTCTTGGCTGCCTCAATAGGTTTACAATCTAATTGAAGGCAATAGTATATACATTTATTATAATTGTTTACAAGATAGATACAAAAAGTTTTTGATAGGTTACTTTATAAAAGGGCTGGTATAACTCTCTAAAGTTCTGATTTTCTTTTTCCAATTCAGTAACTTTGGTTAAATGCCTATTTCATTTTAAACACTGGAGTTGCGTAAAAATTAAAAACTGACGATTTGTGTCCTCAACTGATCTTTTTTTTGTGTGAGATATATGAATATGTTAAACCACAGAGCTAAAAATTTTTCCTTTAATTTTAATAGGCTTTCCTAGGATTTTTCCTCCATGTTTTAGTTATGTATCTTTTTCCTAAGCAGGTTCCAAGTTTTGCCTTTATTATGCCTAATTTTACCTACTCCTCAAATAGGAGAGTACTCTACTGATAAGAGTTTTAGAGCTGACAGAAATCTAGTCACTTTATATGTTTCATTTCTAAAAATTTTATTGCCAAAAGGAAAATATACTCTTACTCTACCCAGATCTGTCAGAGGTCATCTACTGTGAAACACATTCTTCTCACATATAATCCAAATCTCACATTTTTAAAGGGTTTAAAAACTTTTCAACTTGTTCTAGAATTTTAAAGATCTAACCTTTAAATTACTTCCTCTGTCATAAGGCTTTTGGTGTAATTCAAATGATTTTTCAGAAGGTGCTCTACCACACAGTGTGGTCTATCAAAATGAGGAAGGTAAATGGGTGACTGATCTTGCCTATTATACTTCTTTTGATGAAGAACAAGATTTAAATCTTTGTAGAGATAATGAAGTAAATGAAGAATTCAGAACTGGATGTAAGTATGTATTATTCTCTTCCCCTCCTTGCGGGGGGTGGGGGGGCAGCTCATTAGAGATGATAAATGTGGTACATATTAACTGTATTTTCTTCAAAGGTGTTTTTTAGTAGACTTAATAATTTGATGCAATGAAGTAAAAGGTTAGGCTTTAGGATTTTTAACTCTTAGTGAAGAGTTTTTAAGTGTAGATCAGTACTTTTCTTCTTTCAATTACAATGATGAGAGTTTTAGAGCTAACAGAAATCTAGTCATCTCATATGTTCCAGTTCTGAAATTTTGATTGCCAAAAGGAATGTGCATTCCCTCACATTAAAGATACCTTTCATATCACCACTGAGAAATTGTTAGAAAATAAAAATTGCATTTTAATGGAAAATTAGTTTCATTTCAATTCAAAATGTTTATTAAGGCCCCATTGTGTATAAAACAGAGATAAAAAGATGAATAAGACAGTTCCTGCCCCTAAGGACTTTGAGGTTGATAAAAAGTTTCTAAAAGTGTTACAGACTAAAAATTAATCTGGTTTCTTCAGACATATTAAAAACTTTAATAATAGGGTTCTAAATTTTTTTTTAAAGGGCACTTGGGAGCTATGTGACTACTTGCTTTCGTTAGGTTCCTTCATTATAGCATTGTGGCAAAAGTAGTGAGGAAATGTACTTACCAGGGGATTTTACAGGATCAAAATGATCTTACTTGAAAGACCATCTCAGAGTTGGAAAGACTCTCAGATGTCATTTATTGCTAATGTTACCTGACGAATGGTAGCCTAGTATCTGCTTGAAGACCTTCAGTAAAGGAGAACTCCCTTCTAAGACAACCTTTTCAAATTTGGACAGTTCTGATTATTAGGAAGTTATTTTTTTTTAAATATCAAATTAACAGCTTTCCGCTTGTACCTGTACTCATTGGGTAGAACCCTGGGTTCTGCTCTTTGGGGCCAAGTAGAACAAGTCTAATACCTCTTCCATGTGGATAGACCAAAATACCTTAAGACGACAGCTCTCTTATCCCCTTCTCTACCTCATCTTCTCCAGGTTAAGCATCTCTAGTTTTATCAGTTTTTCCATTGTGTGACATGGCCTCATCTTCCTTGCTATGATGGTCACCCTTATCTGAAAATATGTTCCACCTTGTCAATGTCCTTCATAATATGTGGTAAATGTGATACTCTGGATGTGTTCTGTAAAGTGTACAGAGTACAATCACCTTTCTTGATACTATGCTTCTTTTGATGCAGCCTAAGCTGGATTAGCTGTTGTGACATACTGTTGACTTTATTGAAATTACAGTTCACTAAAGTCTCCAGAACATTCTGATAGAAACTGTCGTTTAGCTACTTCTCCTATATCTTGAACTAGTGTAGTTAACTTTTTGGCTCCAAGTGTAGGACGGTATGTTTATCCCTGTTTAGCTAAATCCTTTTGGATCCTTACTTTGTCATTCCTGTGTTAGTTATCCTTCCAGCTTTATGCCTTCTGAACATTTCATAAGTATTTATGAATGACTTGTAGTCAAGTCATAGATGAAAATCTTAGCTTAATAAATTTTTATTCATTGATTTATTTACCACAGTTTGTTTAGCCATTCCCTAGTTGATGAGTATCTACTTTGTTTCCATTTCTTTGTTACTATAAAAAGTGTAGTTGTAAATATTTTGGTATATGTGGGAACTTTATTCTTATCAATGTGTCTCCTTGGAGTAAACCTGGGATTTCCAGGAGACGAGGTATAGACATTTTACTCACTTCATTTGAATAATTCCAAATTGCTTTCCAAAATGGTCGTGCTGATTCATATAGCTCTACCAATGCACCAGCATGTCCATCTTCCCACAACTCCTGCAGTATTGACACTCCTTATGTGTTATTATTGCCAATTTTCAGGGTGTGAGGTGAAGCCTTATTGTTGTTTTAATTTTCATTTCTCTTATTAGTAATTTGGAGAATTCTTTCATGTGGTCATTAATAGTTTGTAATTCTTCCTTTGTTCATATCCCTTGACTATTTAATTATTAGGAATCATTTTTGTTCTTATGTTTTTCTGTTAATTATTTATGTATTTTGAATACCAAACTCTTATCTGAGAAATTTGATGGACTCCTCCCTCCATTTCTTATCTTAAGTATATTTATTTTGTTAGAAGCTTTTCAGTTTAATATAATTAGAGTTATCTCTTATCTTTTGAAATGCCTACTTTTATCATTATTATTTTATGTAGTTCTGGAAAGACAATAGAAAGACAGTGTCTAGAAGACAATAGGAAGGTATTAAAGGTGTAAAGATAGGAAAGAGAAGATGAAACTGTTCCTATTTGCTCATGATATGATGGTTTACTTAGAAAATCCTAGGGTATCAACCAAAGTCATTTATTGAGACTACAATTAATTATGGTTTCAGACTACAGAATAAACCCTCAAAAATCACCATTTCTATATAACAATAACAAAACTCAACAGACAATATTAGAAAGGGAAATTCAGGGACAGCTAGGTGGTGTAGTGGATAAAGCACCAGCTCTGGAGTCAGGAGGACCTGAGTTCAAATTTGGCCTCAGACACATGATACCCACTAGCTATATGACCCTGGGCAAGTCACTTAACCCTGATTGCTAGCCAAAAAAAGAAAGAAAAAAAAAGATCCTTAATATTATAGGAACTTATAAAAAGGGGTAGAAAGCAAAGAAAGAATTCCATTCTCCCATGTCTGCAATATTCTTTCTCTTTATCTCCTGGTTTCCTTTAAGTTCCAACTAAAATCCCATCTTCTACAGGAAACCTTTCCTAGTTCCCCTTAATGTTAGTGCTTTTCTTCTTTTCATCATCAATTTAATTTTTGCATATCTTGTTTTTACATAGTTATTTGCTTGTAATCCCTCCTATTAGATCAGGCCTGCACAACATGATCTGCGGGCCATTTGTGGCCACCAGAGCATTTAGAGTGGCTATCACATGACCAGTGGCAAACAACCATTGTCAGTCTGATGTGACAGCTGCCTGAAATCCTTTGGCGGGCACAAGCAGCCCTCGGACCATATGTTGTGCAGGCCCACATTAGATTGTTTTTATATCTTTTATTCTTTATATGTCTCATTTTCACATAATTATTTTTTTGTAGTCTCTCTTCTGTTAGATTGTGAACTCGTTGGGAGCAAGGATTCTTGTGTTTTTGTTTGTTTGGTTTTTGGAGGTGGGTGATTCTTTGTGTCCCCAGAGCTTTAGCACAGTGCTTTACACATTTATAGGCACTGAATGTTTGTGACCTTGACTTTAAGAACCTCATCATTCCCTTAAATTATTGATATGTTAAAGGCACATCAACTATAATATTTCATTTGAGAAGTGGGAGATGCAAGTTAGTGAAAGTGCAAGCCAAGTCGATTGTAATAACTTCATAACTGCTATAGCACATTTACCACAACTGAAGTTTGTTATGATAACCATAAGTCACAAAAGCAGTTAAGCAAAAAATTCCAACATTTTTTGAAATTCATAGTTGTGCTTAGTTCTTCAGGAATACGAAGACGAATAAGACAAAGTCTCTGTCCTCTGTAAGTTTACAATTCTGTAAGGCAGATGAGACTTCTATACAAATTTAAGGCTTCATGTACTAAATGTTTTAAGAGGGACTACTACAGGAGTTTTGTATGAAAAGTTATATTCTAGCTGTTGGGGAGGCACTAATCTAAACTTTGTAGGGATTTCATCAGGTAGAGACAAGAAAGGCAAAGTGTAGACGTGAGAGAACAAAACCACGGGGATTAATTGGGAGCGTAGGTATAAGACCAATTTGTTACTGCTTAGGGTAATTGAAGGTAAGTAGAAAGTGTAGACTGGAACCAAACTGTGGAAGGCCTTAAATGAAAATAAGTTTCGATTTTACTTTGGGGACACTGAACAGCTGCACACATTTTACAAAATAGATGTTTTTTAAAAATATAATTTGTCAGTAATGAAGCTAATTAAACTTATTTTTAAAAACTTGAATGTTTTTGAGAAGAGAGTAATGTGATCACAGTTAAGCTTTAGGAGCATTACTTTGGTAACATTATATGGTTTGGATTGGAGTCTGGGGAAACCAGAGGCGTAGGAGAATTGCATAGGAAACCTTTAATAATCCATACTAGAAGTTGTAATGTGCTTTTATGATTGTAACCCCATGTCATATGAGGTATTCTTAGCAGCTTCAGTAAAGTAAGTAGGTAAAATGGTTTTATTTACTTATTATGGACGATGAAATTTCACTTACAGGCATTTATTGCCTGATTTGTAAATAAATGCCATGTAGAGATAGGATTTGAGATATTGCCTTCTGACTCCATAAATTTAGTCCTCCATAAATTTAGTCCTTGTTCCATTTTAGCTTTTTTACCCAAATGTGATAGCGTTTAACTTCAAAAGCTAATGATTCACGGTTTCACACGCCATACACAATGTATATAATGACATTTTTTGGATACTTGAACTAGTTTTATTTCCGTAGCATTTTTCTTTGTCAAGTAACATACAGTTTTGTAGATAAGTACTTGTTAGCACCATTAATATTGTTTTGCCAAACTATTTTTAAGCTGAAGCAATGGCTTTGATTGCTCAAGATGAAGAAGAATTCGAAAAAGAACACAGATTTATGCAGGTTAGTAATTTGTTTCAAATGGTTAGTAATGGCTAACATTTATATAATGCTTACTGTGTGCTAAGAGCTTTACAGTTATTATCTTGTTTGATGCTCATAACAACACTAGGAGTAGTTGCTATTATTATTATTCCCATTTTACTGATGAGGAAACTGAGCCAGACAGAGGTTATGTGACTTGCTTAGGGTCACACAGCTAATAAGTGTCTGTGACTGAATTTGAGCTAGTAAGTGTATATGACTGAATTTGAACCTCAGATCTTTCCAACTCCAGACCTAATGCTCTGTAAAAATGTTAGTCTATTCTTACTAGTCTAAATGAAGGTAAAACTTAAATTCCCTTTTGAATAAAAATTTTAATTTAATGCTTTAACACTTTCAAAATACTTTTCCCCAAAACTCTCTTAGATGGGTATTATAAATATCATAACCTTGTATATTAAGAAACTGAGGTTCAAAAAAAAATGAAGTGATTTGCCTGTAGTGTCACATAGCTAGTGTCAAGTCTTTGATTAAAACCTAGATTTCTCTGGGCAAGTCACTTAACCCCAATTGCCTCACCCAAAAAAAAAAAAGCAAAAAACCCTAGATTTTTTTTCTGATTCCACATCAGTAATCTTTTCAGTGTTCTACAGTGTTTCTAGAATGTAGTCAGCATAATTTCTAATGGGACCATGGTTATTGCATGTACATTGGAGAGTATCAAACCAAGCCCGTTTTTACTCCTTTATACTTTGAATATTTTAGGGTTCTTTTTGCAGAATAAACAAGTGACTGAACATGCTTTTAAAATTTCTTTGCAGTTCAGTTCAGATTGTCATGAAAATCTCTATATGGTATTTCTCTAATTTTTAACTATGCTGAAAATAGAAGATTTTTTGATTTTAATGCATTTTCCTTATATAAAGAATTTTTTTATTAATGAATGTGATTATACGAAACCCAATACCTTGAGGCTTGCAAGGAGATGAGAAAAAAAGATATGCCATTGAATTTAAATATGCCTCTGTTCATTTAGGTTTCTTCCTCTTACTTATTTTTGACTTTGAAGAACAAATTACTTTACAAAGATCTTTAGAATTTAAACACTCTCCTAAAATTATTTTCTTCATAGGAAGAGAAAATAGATCTTCAGAACACTTCAGGTGCCCCAGGGGATACATCATGGAGTGCATCTGTTAATTATAATCTGTTGAGGAGATCACACACCACATCAGATATGACTGGTGATGATGCCAGTTATTTGCGACTCTCTTTGGGGGAGTTCTTTGGTCAGAGATCTGAAGCACTTGGCTGCCTTGAAGGGGGTATTAATGTGAAAAGGGTATGTATAAGAATATGTGAAGAAACATCAAAGTAGCCAGAAAATATGCTGTTAGCTGTGCTTTTTATAGCTGTCTACTTACATACTATACTAGATGATAGTCCATAATCTGCCTCAAACTTTTTAAAGGTTTATCTTTATTTGTATTTTATAGCCTTTAAAAACTTATATTGCGTTGTATTCTCATAGAAGGAAATTCATTCCTGCTTATAGAAATCAAAATCCAAGGTTGGAAAGAAGGAACATTTTGCATTATTGAAAGAATTCATTTAAAATTCATTTCAGCAAACCTTCATTATTAAAAAAAAAATAAATTGCGAACTTCCTCTAAAATCTGACAGTGAAAACATGCCACAGGACTTACAGGTGGCTTATAATCTATTTTTAAAAAACTTGAAGGATATCAGAATTGCTGTATTGCATCCAAACCTTACAATGAAAGCTTGTTATGTTATACAAAAAAAGTTGTATGATTTTTGCTTAAATGAAATAATTTTTTTTTTGTTTTTGCTGTATTTATAGAAGTATTTAATTTGGGACATTTGTAGGATACTGTGCTTTCATACATAGGTGATTTATAAGTATTTGAATTGAAGAGTGTTCATTAAAAGGGGATAGGTTATGGCTATCCTAAGGCAATAAACACTGGGTTTTGTTCTACTGTAAGTTAGAAGATAAATATTTTTCTTAAATATTTCAAAAATGTAATAATTCTTTGGATTGATGTTAGTTGGTGGTTGGATTCATGAACACCTTGTTGGCTGTCTCAGAGCTACTGGGACAGACTGTAAAATTACAGTGCAGTATTTAGCTCAGACCTTGTAGAGCAGATTGCCTAAAGCATAGTGAATTTTTTTTTAATAAAATATCTCCTCAGATATTAAATTCACAAAGCTTATCTGTCAATTTAACATCATTTTTTCCTACCTCCATCTGATTTGAAACTTGGCTTTATTACCGTCATCAGCTCTGGCACTGATTGTCAGGACAAATTTTTTTCTCTGAGCAAAACTATTTTACAACTTCAAATGAAGTCACTAAAAACTGGATTTATAGTCAGATTTTTTTTTTAAATAGCAAATACATTGCTTTGTATGATCCCAGTTTGCAAGACCAGCGAAATGAATGAAACTGCCCCTCAGACCAGACTCTTTATTGAATTAGCAGGTGAAAAGAAAATACTTTGAATTCGTTTAGGGTGAAAAGGATATTCGCTTTTGCTCTTTGTTTCTGGGTCTTTGTGAATTTATTGATGAATTTGTATTTGATGTGCTTTTTTCCTCTCTTGAATGATTAAGATACTTGAAATAAAATGTTTGAAAAATAATTGCTCTAGGTGGTAGAACAAAAGAATACTGCTTAGTTTAATGCCCCTGTTCCCCTCTCCTTTTCTTCCCTAAGTGCCAGCCAAATAGTACATTTAAAATCAAATAAAACCAGTAATTTGTTAAGTGCCTACTGTATATCATGCCATTTTATGTAAAAAGATATGTGAATATCTATATATATATATATATATGTGTGTGTATATGTATATGTATATGTAAAGTGAGCGAGAGAGACAGAGAGCTTGCGAGCCCAGAGTTAGGATGACAAACAAATATGAGTTTTATTATCTTATAAGGGGAGAATTATTTGAACTTGATTTAGTTTTAAATGGATGAAATAGAATACAAAATTATAAATAAGCTTATTAGAATGATAACCACTACTATAGGAGTCAGGGAAGGGCTTTATGGAAGAGATAATGTTTGATTTGGTTCTTCAGGCATGAGACAGGAACCAATAAGTGAAATGAGTAAATTGAGGAAGAAGTACTATCATGCATTTCGATTAGTGTTCTGCAAAGTGGGAATAGAGATAAGTGGGATTATTTTAAGGAGTTCTTTTTGACCTTGTGAACAAGGCATTTATAAATGGGCCATCAGATTGTGAGATATGTAAGTGGCATTGTACAAAATGCTTTTCTGTAGTACTAGTTGAATTGGTTACACATATATTGTAGAGAATTATTGTAGGATATTGTAGAATATTGTAGGATTAAGGAGAGGAACTGTCAAATACAAATCCATCAGTAAATGCACATAACTTTTCAGGACTGTAAAGCAAGGTATATCAAATTGAAATCACGTTTCGGTGAAATATGGTATGATTGAGTTATTTAAAGGACATTTTGCTTGGAGGGTTGGGCTTGATGGATAAGATTTCTGAACTACTTTGTAAAATGAACTGCATTGTAGTAAAATCTCCTAGAACATTATGGTTTGAAATTTAAGAAAATAACATGTCCAATTATTTTGTAGCCATCGTTTGGTTACTTTATTACATCTCCAGAAAAAAGAGAACCTGTAGCTCTATTGAGGGAATCTGATGTATCAACAGACAATTTAGAGCAAGATCAAGAGCAGCATGTTCTCTTTTCAGGTAATGGTTGAAGTTTTGGGGCCTAATTAACTCTTAATATTGTAATCTTAACAGTTGCTTTCACTCAAGTCCATGTTTTGTTAAATATTGGGAGAGACAACTACTGAACAGTCTCTCTTTTAAAAATATTCAGTTTTCCTTTTCCATACATTAAAATTTATTTAAATTAATTTGAGACTTTAAATCTTAAATGCTTGTTGATTAATTGGACACAAGAAAGGTTTGCCTTTAGGCTTCCCAATCCCCAGATCCATATTTCCTTTTAGAAATTTGTGGTGGCTATTAGTGGCTTCAGTCATTATGGTAGCTAGATTATAGTTCTGGTAGCAGACTGTATCTGCATTCTTTGCCTCGATAAATAATGAGGGGTTCATCCTTAAGTAGGTTGACCACTAATTATATGGTAAATTCTTTGGTGTTAGCAACCCCTAACACAAAGGAAAATGTAACATGGACCTTAGTCTTACTGTAATCATGTGGCTTCTGCAGTGGTTGTGACAGAACAACAAATAAGGTAGAAAAGGATGGTGAGAATGAGTTTTTGATCATCTTATGAATCTTAAGGGTTGATATTCTACATGTGAGGTCCATGTCTACTGTGCAGTAAGTATGTGTGTTTGTATTAATTTGCTTAATCTTGACATTCTTGCTGTAAGTAAAATGAGAAGATGATGGTTCAGTGGCCTTCCTTGAGAGACACAGGAATTGGCAGTTGGTTTTTATCACATGTCTGAAGGCAAAAATAAAGATAATTTCTTAGTAAGCTTAATTTTCTCCTCTTGCAGTTTCGTGAAATGTTTCTTGAGAAACATTTATAAAAAGACTTTCATGAAGATAATTGCAGCTTATTTGCCAGTTTCTATGGCACAGGGTAGTGAGATAGAAAAAGTACTCAAAGAACTCAAAAAAGTTCCTAATGTAAATCAACATATACTTTAATACTTGGTAACTTGAATGTAAAGGTATGGTTAAAAGGGGTTGCTAAAAATGTTGGAAAGTATGTCTCAGGAGTAAGAAACAAAACAAGTTGGAGACTTAGACCTCACAGAAACCCCACCTATTGTGACTATTTTCTTTAGAAAAATTTGGGAGGTGCTAGACATGGCTTGCACCAAATAACATGAAGAAAATAGATCATATTATAATAGAAAAGGAATGATTACATACATGGAAGTCATTTCCAAATTGACTGTGTTAAACCTTCAGCTTATAAGTGAAAGCTCAAAATCAATACCAACCAAGTTAGAAGAATAAAAATGAGAACATGGGACATGCACTTGAGCCAACTCTAGCCTAACCTAGCCTAATTTGAGTAAAGTCAAGCTTTTGATGCTTGAAAGTGGAAAATGGACAAAGCAATTGACATCAACATAGACTTATTGTTTCTTAAGGAAGTTGTCTGAGTAAATAAAATTATTACCATAAGTGAAACCAAAAGAGCCTTGAAACTTCCTTAATGAACATGAACTCCTTCCCTAGGAGAGAGATAAAAGCCAAGCACTTATTGATTAAATGGCTTCTAAGTGTTAGGCTCTGGGATTGTTAAGCAAAAATGAAAAATTTTTTTAAATGAAAATGTCCCCAGGGAAATTGTGTTTCATATATTATGGGTCCTTAATAAATACTATGTAACTATATTTTGTGCAGTGTAGTTCATTGGAAAGTTCACTGAGTTTAGAGTCGTTAGCCTTGAGTTAAAGTGCCAGATCAGCTGCTTATGACCTTGGGCAAGTCACTTAACTGCTCTGGGCTTCAGTTGCCTCATCAGTAAAATGAGGCAGTTGGACTAGATATCATGTCAAGTCCCTGATAGATCTATCCAAGTCCCTACGTATTCTCAGTAGGGACCCATCCCACTTTGATCTAGTTAAAGATATTGCTACCATGGCCAATGGGATCTTGAAATTGAAGAATGGAATGCAGTCAAAGGTGAAACTTCATGGTATAATGGGCCTACAGGAGCCAGAGAACTGATCGATTCCTGGATCTGATAGTAAGATAAGTTTTGTGACTTCGAACAAGGCACTTTGTCACTGAGGGCTTGAGTTTCATTACGTGTAAAAAAGAAGGTATTAGGTCTTTAAATTGTATTTATGGCTATAAGAGTCTATAAACTATACCTTATTTAAGTTCAAATTTTACTTATTTAAAATGTTTGAGCACCAGTTGTGCTAATTGTTGTGTGGGTTATAGAGCTGTATAAAAATAGTCCCTTTCTTCAAGGAGTTTATAATCTAGTAGGTGAAATAAGACCAGAAGATCAACCAGGGAGAAGGAAAGTAAAGCAGAAACATTTAAATGCAATCATTTGGAATATTTTTCTGTGTCATCCCTTTTCTGTGAATAGTATGCTTATAATCTACATGTACATTACGTTGTTTCTAGTAATTGGGTGTAAATTTATTTAAATGATATTATAACTTCATGATAATCATTAATAATGTCATACATTAGTTGAATAACAGTGTTTATAGGAAAGTGCTGTGCTTTAATCATGATTCTTACACTGCATTTATGTAAGACTTAACAGTTGTAAAGCATGGATTACTTTAATTTGAAACTTTTTTCTGGGGATAGACTAAAATTCATATTATTATATAACAGACTGTAGAGTCAGTTCCCCCCAAAACAAAACAGAATAGGTCTTAACATCAGCTGCTGTCTTGTTTATTGCCTCAGTTCATTCTTATTTTGTGAAAGATAGAAGTATCTTTTTTGGCAGTAGCCATTTCCTTTTGTCTTCACTGTTATGGATTAACTATATTAACTGTTGTTTCTACATTACACTGTAAATTTTAAAAAGTTTTTTTTTCTTCAGAAGACGTAGAAGAAAAATCCAGGGAGCCATTATGTGATGGATCAGCTACATTTAACATGAACGATTTGGAGATTACTTCACAAATAGATGAAAATGATAAGATTTTTAAAGGAAGAACTGAGGTATCTTGGTCTTTTTATGAATAAATCACATTTAAGTAAAGTTTACTTACTGCTCTTATGTAGAAGTAATAGTTGATACTCATTTTTTCCTCTCCCAAATTATCTTTAGTGATCAAAGAGAACAGTTAGGTTAGTTAAATGTTTAAAATGTGCATGTTTTAAGAATTTATTTTATTACTTGCTTGCACATACTACTTTGTAAGCATGCTCATTTCTGTATAATGTAGATCATTTCTGATTTTTATGTTATACTTAATTCTATCAGTTTTTGTTGGCATCCCTGAGAGTTGTTTTTTACCATGATTTTATTTAATGATGAAACCTAGAACTTGCTTAAGTCAGTGGCTTATTCCTACCTAATTGTGTACAGGCTAGCTTTGAATGACTTCATACATACAGGAATTCCTAACCCATATAACATATCACAAAATAAAATCTGACATGCTGTGGAAAATTAAGTCTCTGTCATAAAAATGTGCGTTTATTTAAAAAATAGTGTCTTTTTTCCTTCTCACCTATGTACATTCTTAGCAGTGGCCTATTTTGTCTGCTCCGATGGCTGGCTCTGGCTGTTGGCATACTTTTAAATTTGTTCTTCATCTGAAGCTTTGAAGGAATCAATCATAACCTTTGTTTAAGTGGCATTTTTCTCTTGCTGGATTTATTGCTTGTTTTTTTTTTTATTGAAATTGTTTAGATTTGTAAATCTCTTTAAGAACTTATGATCGAAGCTGATGCATAAATGCTGATATTTTACTGGGCCACTTAGATGTTATATACAATTGATTCATAGAGGCACTAACTCTCTTATAATGATCATATAATATTTACATATATATGTACATATACATTTCATTTGAATTAGTTTACCTTGAATATGATTCTTTTCATTTTTTTAGGACACTTTGGTCAACAAAAGCAACAGTGAAAGATATGAGGACAAGATTTCTGATTGTAGTGACACTATACTCCATATAAGTACCATTGCTTCGGCTATTGATAATGCTTCAGTGAGTGCTGATCCTTCCCAGTTAGCTGCTATGATGATGGCACTTTCAAATAAAAGCAAACAACAGATTTTTCTAGAAGCTAGTAATAAAGAGAGGGACTTTTCTTTTGTGAATCAAATGTTACCTAGTCATTTCGAAAGTAATGGAACCAATACATTTGATATGGAGAAATACCTCAAAAAAACAGAAGTTAGTAGATATGAAGGCAGTTCTGATAAGTTTTTGAGAACTGGGTTATCTGGTACCTGGGATTTATCCTTAGCCAATAAACAAACTACACAAGATTTTCTTGAAGTAGATTTACACACTGACAGTGTAAATGTAAGGGAACCAGAAGAAAACCTAGATGTTATTTTTAATAAAGAAACAGAAATAGTGAGTCAGGAGTCATTTGGTGCATCTCATTTAAGTAAAAATATTGAAAAACACTGGGGTAACAAACAGTGTGTAGAAAATACTCCTGATAAAATAATCACTAAACATTTATCACCCAAACAAATCTTGGGATTTGGTAGAAGTAATATAAGAGAATCTTTAGTGGATGATACTACAGAAAATGAAAGGTCACTCAAAACTAAATCTTCCTCATTAAAGCAGATTGCAAGCAAAACCACGAGCCCTCTAAATTCACTCCTTGCTAATGCGGGTAGAGAGACAGTTGATAAGATGTTTGCTAGTAATGACAAAATACCAGATGTTGGTAGAGGTGAAAAACCTACATTGATCAGCACCCCAAAGCCTAGTAGTTATTTGCCGGTGAGAAATTCTACCACGACATTCAGCTGGACATCTGTAGAATGTAACGAGATACATGATAGAGAAACCCAAAGGCAAAATGAGAACAATTGTGAGCCACACAGCAGTGACAAACATACGACCTTTGAAAAATCTTCTGAATTTTGCCTCCAAAATATTGGTAAGTGTTTTTGTGTGCACATATGTGTTTGTGTTATGTGATCGGTTTCATCACATTTCATAGTGGTTTTTTTCCTGTTTTCATTGAGGAACAAACCATTGTTTAACGAATTTGAAAAACACCTCTCCTGAACGAGATGCACAGTGTTTAGAAGATGAACAGTTTAGCTTTAGACCTTCAACTTCACCACTGATTCATTCTTCTCCTAGTGAAGTTTCTGAAACACCTATTTCAGGGTAAGTATTTTTTGAAGTGTAGAAATTGTTATCCTTATATCCAGCTTTTAAGAATATAAATTGAAAAATGTACATAAATTTTGACAGATTCTTTAGTAATAAAAGATAAAAGGGAGAAAATTTTGCCTAATTAGTAATCAAAAGTGATTTGATAAACAGCTAAGTTTGATTTCCAAGATTTAATTGGTTTTCGTTCACAGTAGTTGAACTGTCCCTGTACTATTTGTAGATCTGTGCCAAAACATGGTAATCTCTAACTTGAGGAGAAAACTGAATGCTTCTGGCCCAATGTTCTTAATTGATTCTTGTTTTAAGTGCAGCATTAAGATATATCATTTCATGGATATAACCAACATTGTACATATATTCTACTTAGAATTGTTGCACATTCAATTAACCAACATTGTACATATATTCTACTTAGAATTGTTGCACATTCAATCAGCATTTTAGTTTAAACAGATTACAGAAAAAGAGGAACCTTTTTTTTTTGCAGTGTGATATTGCAGGTAGGTGGCATAGTGGATAGAGCACCAGGCATAGGAAAACCTCAGTTCAAATTTGCCCGCAGGCACTTGCTAGCTGTGTGACCCTGGGCAGATCACTTAACCTTGTTTGCCTCAATTTCCTCATCTGTAAAATGAGCTGGAAGAGGAAATGACAAACCACTCTAGTATTTTTGCCATGAAAACCCCAAATAGGGTCATGAAGCTGATAACAAGTGAAATAACTGAACAACAACAACAAAAATTAAGGAGAGCACTAGGCATAGAACAAATTCTTTTAAACCCTATAAGTGTTCTTTTTTACAAATAGGATTCTTTGGGTCATCAGTTCAACTTTTCTTTTTTGTACTAATGGAAAGAAACAGTATTGCACAGAGTTAAAAATATATTTTGATTGTAGAACGAAATTTTAATTTACACATTTTTGGGGGGAGGGGTCAGTGGGGTCTTATCTGGGAATTAACAGGATTTGAAGCAAAATGAAGTGCTTTGATTTTTTTTTTTTGATCATTGCAAAGAATTGAAAGCCAGTTAGATGCCCATCAATTGGGAATAGCTAAACACATTATGATATATGAATATAATGGAATCTTACTGCCACATAAAAACAAATATGAAGAACTCGGAGAAACATAGGAAGAACGTGAACATTAATTTGAGTGAAATAAGCACGAGGAAAATAATAGACAACTTGACTAACAGTGTAAATGAAAAAAAATGGCAAAACAAAATACTCCTTAATTATACAACTGAACTTATTCTCAGTGAAGAATTGAGAAAAAGGGCACCTCCCTTTTTTTCATTGAAGAGGTAGGGGTCTTTGGATGTGGCATGTTTTGTCAGATGTGGTTGATATTTTTGTTGATTTTGCTGAACCATATTTTTCTTTTCAAATCCCTGTTACCAGGGAGGTGTGAGCAAGATTGAAAAGGGGAAAAGGATATGTTTGGAAATAAATTTTAAAAATACCAGGTTTGAAAAAAAGGAAGTGCTTAGGAACATTCTAAATGCACAAAATAACGAGCACATAAAATTTTAGAAATCCTATTAAACATTTGAGTTGCCTTATCTTTTAAGAATACCAGCTTTGAATCAGACTCAATCTTGGTTTAGTTTTATTTGGCTTGACTCCACTGGAAAAGGAAGAGTGGGAAGTTGCTCAGAGCTGAGTTTTCTGTAATTGGACATTTTAAAATAGAAGAGACTAGACCACTTGTTGAACCTGAACCTGTTTTAGAGTGTATTCCTGTTCATGTCTAATTTGCATTAGATGGTTTCTGTGAGGTCCCTTACAACTCTACCTATTCTATGTTGTCCTTTGGTTAAACTTAGTACATACCTGTCTTTGATATAGTTATTTTGATTTTAAGGTCTCTCCTAGTAGTTGACAGATGTGAAGAAAATTTAATAATTTCTTGTCATCTTCCTTAGTTCCAGGCTGTTATTATGATAATTAAACCAATAAAGGAACTAAGTTAAAATTAAAAAATTAGTCAAATTAAAGAGGCTATTAAAGTCACCAAGCATCTTTCCTAATCATTTTGACGATGGTCTTTTTGAGTTCTGAGAATTTGTATATGATTCATATTCTGCTTGTTTGTGTTTCTAGAAATGTAAATATTAAAGATTTTGACATATTTTTACTATACAGGTTCTTCTGAGGTACTATATGATTAATACTTCCCAACAACTGAAAATGCTTGTTCTAATTCCCAAATCCCTTTTTGAAGTGTATTCTCCATTTGTCCTTTCATTTTGACAGTGTTATTAAAGGATCACTGTAATGGACCAGCATATTTATTACCACTCTATGTTAACTTTCTTTACATTATTTTGGTAATTGTTATACTCTTTTGGCTCTTCTTCCTAATCTCTGGATCATGTCATGTTTCTTTAAATTTTTTCGTACTTGGCATTTCTTGGAGCACAGTAGTATTCCATTTTGTGTCTGTTACAACTTAAGATAATAAAAATAGTAACAACTAGTATTTATATAGTGCTTTAAGGTTTCCAAAGCTACTTTACAAATATTTAATGTCATTTGATCCTCACAACAACCCTGGGAAGTGGGTGCTATTTCTATCCTCTCCTTAACAAAATGGAGGCAAACAGCTTAATTGACTACCTCACGTCAAGTAGCTAGTAAGTATACGAGGTCAGTTTTGAACTCAGGTCTTCTTGACTCCAGGTCCAGCATTCTAACTACTATACTACCTAGCTGCTTCTCAATCATAGATATAGATTGAGAAGATCCACAGAGGCCATCTAGTCTTAATTTTATGGACAGATTTGTTTAGCCATTATTTACTTGTTACATTTATTTTTGCTGTCAGAAATAATGCAGCTGTACAGTTTTTTGGTACTTTGGCATTTTTTCTTGCTGTCAGTAAATTCGTTGGCATATAGTTTCAGTTACAGTCTTAGTCGTAGAGACTGTAAGTGTTTGAAAAGGATATAAACAATTGAGTAATTTCCTTTACATGATTCTAGATAGTTTTGTAGAATGGTTCAGCCACTTCGCAACCTCATGAGCAGTATAATCAACTTGTTTGTCTTCCTGTAGCTTTTCTAGCAGTTTTCCCGTTTATAATATTTTTGAGCTGTTAATTGCACTTTTGCATTTTGCCTTATAGTTGTTATTTATGTACATATTTTCTCTGCTCAAAAGAAGGCATTTGAAATGAGGCCTTAGGAAATGGTCTTAATCTCTGTTGATTAGATATCATATACTGTACCTGCTCAATGAATATTAGCAAATTTTGTCCAGTCTGCTGCCTGAGTACCTACTGATCAACAGATTTTCCTAATCCAAGTTTCTTTTGCCTGTTGATGCTGTGGACTCATTAGTAGCAGTGGTTTATAGGAGGTTAGGCTCACTTGTTGGTACCTGGTATTTTTGGAAAAAATTTTTAAAAACCGTAAATAGTTAATTTATGTGTAATGAAATGATTGCTTTTTATAAGTGGAATTTATTGGTAATCTGAAGCTTTAGACAAAAATTTTTATTCAGCTATAGAATAGGAATTTTAAGTGCATTTACTATAAAAGAAGTAATTTGATTTACCCAAATAGATTACTTGTATTGTCCTTGTTTCTTTCAGTTGAGTCTTTTAAATATGATGAAGATGACATAGTAATAGGAATTTAATTTTAATTTGAGGCAATTTAAAGAAAACTTGGTAGTTTAATAGTTTTTGTCTCACTTTTACAAAACTCAGTTTGTATTAATTACTGTTTAAAGAGGTTGTAGAGATTCAGGAGATGTTGCACTTTTGAAATGTGAATAGGTAAGAAAATAGCAGAAATTCTAGGGATAGTGAAGAAATATCACATTATACTTCATAACACTTAGGTTTTCCTTTTTTCTTTCAGACCTGAATCAAATTTTCTTAGCTCATCAATTCATCTTCAGAGACCTTGTGATAGTACATTACCCCAGTCTGTATGTTCAAGTCCTACTATGGCTAGGTTAACTTACGTCTCTGTTCATGAGAGCTCCTTTCCTTCTACAGCAGTTGGTGATACTTCTGAGAAAAGTCAGGTAATACATCTAGCTTTTAGCGGTCTGAATGCTTCATGGTAGTTACATAATCACTGTTTTATATCTAAAATCACAGACTTTATAGAATTCTGGAAGTGGAAAAGACCTTAAAGATCATGGAAATGGTGTGTGGTTCATATATAGTCTCCACAGAGAAAGAAAAGCATTTGAAATACAAATGTGACAGAAAATTATTTGGTTTGGAAAAGACTTAATTCACATAGGTTTGAGCTGAATGCCTGTTTTACATGCCAATTTATACATGCGTGGCAGCACAAATGTATGTTTTTTGTAGTGTATAAATTTTTTAAAATGCAAAATTAGTCTTCTCAGTTTGAAAATTTTAATGTGGAGATGGTGTCTGATGCAGGGACTACATGTGTATTTATCTAATGAACTCATATAAATATATGAGAATAATTTGACTTTATCATAATATTTCTGTACTTTGTTTTTATTAAAAATTTTTTGTCACATTTAGAGTGATGTTCCCAGTGAACTGAGTACAACAATTGTTCGAGCCAGTCCAACTCCTTTGGAAGAGCAGAGTGTGGAAAATGTCAAAGAGAAGATGCCATTACAAAGCAGTGATAAAGTCTCAAGTGTTAATTCAAGCAGCTTGGATAAGAACATAGAAACATATCAGTCTACTCCTGGTGGCAAAATTGAAGATGCACTATCAAACTCTAAAGTTTCTGAACACTTTTCCCTTAGAAGTGCCCCGCCATTCCCTCATGAATTGGGCCAAGTAATTGGGCCTTTGCCAAGCAAATCATGTCTCTCCCATCCACCTTTGTCAACTAATATAGATAAACCTGTGTCTTGCCAGGACTGTGTGACCCAAAGTCAAGAATTAAGCTCTACAAATGTATTACCACCATACACCGGTTTAAGCAGCCACATTCCATTACCTCAGAATACTTCAGGTGACCAATATGTGCCAGTTTCCAGCTTTAATTCTCAGGGACTTGCTTCTGAAATGCAGGCTTTGTCTGGTGCGGTTCCCACACTCCTTAATAGGAATTCTCTTACAACAACATCATTTAATGCACAGCAGTATTTGGGACCTGTATCAACAGGAAACGTTGCTTTGCCTCAGTATCATATTGGCAGCTCTACAGTTTGTGGTCATTCAGGAGGATATCCTTGTACTGCCATTGCGGGAGAACACATTCAGAATTCTGTTGCAGTGGGAATGTGTTTAGGACGAAATGTTGGTCCTGGATTATTGGGTCCTAGCTCCCTTTGTAATGCTCATTCTAATACGTTAAATCAGAATCTTATAAGTACTGCAAAACCATTTTCTGGGCCACCCGTTGGAACTTATGGAATTGAACTCTGGGAATCACGAATTGCCTCAGGGTTTGGTAAGAAACTTTTCATCGTTATGTTTGTTTTTAATGTAGGATAAGAAATGAATTGTAGAAAGAGATTGTAAAGCTAAGTCATAGAATTTTTATGTAGGAATAGACCTTCTTGCACATTAAAATTTTTTAAATTACAAATTTAATCGTTAACAAAACAAACGGAGCATATGGAATAAAAACTATCCATAAGCCTTTAAAATATAATGGACATCTTATGAGTAGAAACAAATGAACAATGGACAAAAATTATCTTGCTTTTTTTTCTATCTTGAAATTCTGTTTCTTATAAACTTTTTTTCTTTTAGAGTTGCAATCAGTGTGTATATATATGTACGTGTACATATATATGTACTTATACATATATACATATATACATATACACACATTATTTTGATTCTGCTCATCTTTTTACATCCCTTTTAGTATTTTTGTTGTCCTTATATTTTATATAAATTGTAATTTTGTATCCAGTCTCTAATTGCTAGATGTGTTATTTCTAGTTTAATGCTGTTACAGATATTGATATTAGATATACCTTTTCATGATATTCTGAGGATAACTGGCCTCAGAGTAGAGAAACCTGGGTTTTAGTCCTTTGACATACACTGGCTATGTGACTCTGGATAAGTCCCTTCTTAGTGCCCTGGGCAACTTGCCTGTTAAGTTGAGAGCAGGTGCTGGTCTACATTCGTAGAGGCAGTTTTTCTACTGTAAATGAAATGCTTGAATCAGATGGAAGACATGAGTTTTAATGATAACACTGTTTTAGAGTAACTTCTTTTCCATATTGCACTCCAAAAAATTCATACTCATGAAGTTTTGCTAACAGTATAATAACCATTCTCCCTGAAAACTTCCTAGCATGGAGTGCTGTTTTTCCTAATTTTGCCTCTGTTATGCAACAGTATGTTGTTGGCTGTATTCATTTGGATTTCTCTCTGAGTATTAAGGGATTTACACGTCTTATTGTGAATATTATGTGTTTATATTTCTTCTTTTTGAAAAGAGTTTGTCTTTTGACCCTCTTATTGTGGGAGTATATTTCTTTTCCCAATCTGCTTTTGTTCTTTCAGTTTTAGAGTTTTTCATTATACAAAAATGTTTAATCTTTGTATAATTGAACTCATTAATCTTCTCTTAGATAATTTTGCTATGTAGGATGAGTTGCTCTTCATAGTGGAAACAAAAGTAAATCCTTTTTTCCCCATTTTAAAAAACATTTCGATTACACAGCTAAACCCATTTTCACTGTTGAGCTGTTCAGATTTCCCACCAGCTTTTCTTGAATAGTATTTCTATTCTCTAATATTTTTTAGACAATGAGTTTATCAAATATTAGCCTCAAATGTGTATTGGGCTTGATTTCTGAGTGCTCTGTTATGTTCCAACCAGTGTGTTTCTTTGCAAAAGTTTTTTGTTCTGAACTTAATATTCATCAGCAAATAGAAATAACGTAGGAAATAAGGAATTAATTTTAATGTATAACCGTTAGCATTTAACAGAGTTAGAACCAAGTAAATTAACAGAAACTAAAAAACTCAGAAGAAAAGCGTTAGTTCTTATAAATACTTGAACTTTTAACCACGTTTGTTCATAGCAAATATGCACAGCGAATATCCTACCAAATGTTCAGTTATTAATCATTGATTTATGTCAGGCTTAATTTGAAGTTGTTTTAGGATGGTCTGTTTAGAACTAGAGGGGACTTTAGAGATTATGTTGTCCAGCACTGTCATTTTATAGATTAGGAAATGGAGACTTAGAAAGTTACATGGTTTTCCCAAGGTCTCACAGGGAGTAGCTGTCAGCAAAAGACCTAGGATCTCAACCCCTGATTCCAGATTGAGTACATATTCTACTGTGATGCTATGCTTTTATAATAATCAAATGAAACAATATTTGTAAGGCTGTTGACAGAATGTTGGCACATGGTAGGCACTATACAAATATTAATTTTCTTTTTTTTCCTCCTTCCCCTCTAATGATAGAGCTCACATTTATATAGTAGTTTATTTAGGGTTTGCAGAGCTCTTTATGTTTTATCATATTCGATCCTTACAACCACCTTATTATATACCCATTTAACTAATGTGGAAATTGAGGCTGAGAGAAAAAAAATGACTTGCCTAAAGTCACACAGCTAAGTAGGTGTCAGAGTTAGGATTTGAACTCAAGTCTTACTGACTCCCAGTCCATTACTGTATACATTGTGTCACTTTCACAAATTCACATACAGATGTTTGATATCATTACGGAAGAATGCTTATTTCTGTAATTTCCTTTTATCCTTTCCATGATTCCTTTGGTAATGAATGGTATGTAGAAACACAGATTAATTTTGTGGATTTCTTAGATTCAGCTACTTTACTCATATCATTTATTGCTTCAGTTAATGTTGTTAATGTGTTTATTGACTGTTTTGTCTTTTTGGCTATGATGATAATTTTGGTACGATGATAATTATAGTAACTAACATCTAGGCCTTCAAAGTTTGCAAAGTGCTTTATACATACCTCTTTTCAGTCTACCATCATCAGCCCTCTGAAAAGATTACCATAGGTATTATTCACATCTTATAGAAGGATAAACAGAAGTTGAAAGGTAATGACTTGCCCATGATTACAAAGATGATGTTTGTCCTTCATTCCTGAAGAGGACCATGGCGTCAAGAAGATGATGCCATGACTTGTGAGTGAATTGAATTTGTGAGGAAGGGCTGTGCAGAGTCACCAGTCTCACTTTCTCCTCTGGAGCCATCTGGGTCCTGTGGCAAGATATAGATCAAGATGACTGGAGATGGCCTTGGATTCAGTGGGAGACCTTGGACTTTTTAAGCTTAAGTCTTTCCCAGGTCTCAGTTTGTCTGAGGCATTGCCCATTCAGTGATTAAGGCTAGGTAAGAAATGAGGCACAAGATGGCCTCTTTTACCTACTTTAAAAAAAAAAAATCAATCTGGGAGGGGAAGATCCTCAGGGTTTCTGGCCAAAACAGAAACAATTGCTGTTTACATTCATTCTGAGCCATTAGGGCCCAAACAGTGAGTAAGTGGTGCTTGGACTGGGATCTGTTGTTGGCCAATCAGTGACAGCTAGAGTGATTTGGGTTTAATTCTTGGTCCTTAAGAAAGAAATCTAGATCTGGGGTTTTCTTAGACCTGGGGAGCTAAGGATGATTTTTTACATTTTAAAGTAATGTTTTATTGTATTTAAAAATGCAAAAACCATTCTTATCTTCCTGCCAGATTTGGCCTTTGGGCCATAGTTTGTTGATCCTTGATTTTAATTTATTTTGATTTAGATATTAATCATCCTTTCCTTCTATGGTTAGCTTTTGGTAATTTTAAAGCCTTCATCAGATTGACAGTTCTCTGAGGCTTTGTAGATAGAGTGCTGTACCTGGAGTCAGAAAGACCTGAGTTCAAGCCTGGTCTCAGACACTTAGCTGTGTGACCCCTCAGGCAAGTGATTTAACTTCTGTTTTCCTCTGTTTCCTCAGCTTTAAAATGAGGATACTTGATTGCAGTAGAACTCCAAATAAGTGAGGTCCTTCATTCCTACTTTATCTTTTGTTCAGTTGTTTTTTAGTTGTGTTTGACTATGACCCCATTTGGTGTTTTCTTGGTAATGATATTGCAGTAGCTTGCCATTTCGTTCTCTAGCTCATTTTACAGATGAGGAAATTGAGGCAAACCAGAATTAAATAACTTGTCCAGGGTCACACAGCTAGTAAGTGTCTGAGGCCAGATTTGAACCCAGAAGATAAGTCTTCCTGATTCTAGGCCCAGCACTCTATCCACAGTGCTACCTAGCTTACCCTCATACATATCTAATAGATTTGTAATTTTTTTCCCCTGGAAATAATCCATTTTTTCCTCCTGACCTAGTAACATCCATAATATATGCCTATGATAATTAATTTTGTTCCCTTTTTGCCTTCATTCCATCTCATCTAAACAGTCTCCTATGTTTTTCCTTGCTCCAGGCATCTTTTTTTTTTTATTTCAGTGACATAATTGGGGTTACATGAATTCTGACCCTGTCTTATGACACATTATCTATTGGTTGAGCTCTGCTCAACCCCAGCTGCAGAGTTAATTTGCATTCCATTTATGCCTTTAGCTGTCATTGTAAAAAAAAAAAGTTTAATCATTTCTTCCATGTGTTTTTATATAATTTTATTTATTTTTAGGTTGTCTACCTGACAAAGCTAATGAGTGCTGTGAAAATGAGTTTTGTCTTACATAAACTTTGTTCTTCCTTAACACCTGATAATATTCTCCAGAGGGGTGCTGGTAAATGTGTGTTGAATTGAATTCATTGCAGAACATTTCTTTGCAAGATGCTTTTGTAATTAATTCAAACTATTTATCAAGTTGTTTCTCTCCTGACCTTATTACACTTTTGTGCTTCCTCCCTCCTTTTTAACCCTCTGTGTTTTCAGTTGTTAGTTGAGAAATGTTTAAATATATTTTTCTGTGCCTGACCAAGTTCATTTTCTGCTAAAATTGACTATCCTGAGGAGCTGGTGTGAATTTACTGCTTTAAATTACAAAGGAAAAATAAATGTAACTATTCTTCCTCTACTCCCTATCTGGCTATTCCTATTTCATTCTTAATCATTTCATCTGTATTCTTTTCCTGATGTCCAGTGAGCACATAACTGAACCAAGCCATGGGCTCCTTCCTTTTCAGTACTATGATTTACTTTTTCTTGGGAGGGAGGATGAATGGAGAGAATAAACATTTATCTAGTACCTAAGTTCCAGGCATTGTGCTAAGCACTTTACAGATATTTCATTTGATCTTTACAGCAACTCTGGGAGGTAGGTGCTGTTATATCCATTTTACAGTTTAGGAAACTGAGCAGACAGGTTAAATGACTTGCTTAAAGGTCACTCAGCTAGTAATAGTCTGAAGCTGGATTTGAACTCAGGTTTTCCTGATTCCAGGCCTAGCGTTCTTTTTACTGTACTTCCTAGCTGCACACACACACACACACACACACAAAGGTGTGTGTGTGTGTGTGTGTGTGTGTGTGTGTGTATGTATATACCTTTTCTTTACTGCTCTACCTCTTTTTTGGTCTTTAAAAAAAAACCCAGACAACTTCTTCCTCTTCTTCATCTCCCCTACCCTCTCCAGACACACAGAAACACAGGCATCAGAAGGAGCTAAGGCACTTTTTTTGGTAAACTAAGTTTTACGGTTTTGTTTTTTTTTTAAATTTTTTTAGGCAATTGGGGTTAAGTGACTTGCCCAGGGTCACACAGGTAGTACATGTCAAGTGTTTGGTTTGAGGGCGGATTTGAACTCAGGTGCTGCTGACTTCAGGACTGGTGTTCTATCCACTGTGCCACCTAGCTGCCCTACATAAGTTTTATGTTCTTTAGAGCTTACTGTTACATAGCTTCTCTGGAAATTTTAAGGTAGTAAATTATCTGTATCTTATGTGTTGATACGGGAAAGAAATTAAAAATATGATTCATGAAACAAACCACTGTTAAATGAAAATTTATAATTTAAAAAATTTTTTAAACATTTTCTAAGTTCATATACCAAGAAATAGAAAATATTTTCAGTAATGCTCAATTTGTTTTGACTATTTTTAAAACAGTGTTAAGAGCTCCTAAAGAGCCAGGAGATAATATTCTGTGTTCATGTTGAATGATAACATGACTAAGTGGGTCTAATTTTAATATAAAACTAATTTTGAATTGAAAGGAATAACAAAAAAATGGAGGAAAAAATCAGCCACATAATTCCTGTTATTGTGTTTTATCATTATCCAGGGAATGTCAGAGTGCCTGAAGAGTTGAAGTTTCCTCATGCATGTTGTGTGGGCATTGCTTCTCAAACCAATCTTAGTATTTTTAATCCAACTGACCGTTGGTTGCAGGTCACCATTGGAATACTTAGCATTACTGTTGATGGTGAAAAGGTAAGTTTTTCTGCCTATCATCAGGGTCACTTAAAGATTGTCAGGAACTAATCTTTACTTTCTTGCTTCTCAATTCAACTATTTATATTATGTATCTTAAACTGTATATAGGAAATTCTTAATAATGGAGTAAAATCTTTATTTTAATTCTTACTTATTACAGTTTTCAGTCATTCATGTATTTGCTTTTTCCAATAACATTTATTGAAAGTAATAAGCTCTGTTTTCCACTTGATATTCAGTTTGTTACTCATATTTTAAGGAACTCGATTACATAATTTGCCCTGGCTAAAAAATATTTTTATCATAGTGCCACAAAATAAGATATTAACTTATTTAGTTACCTTAAGTTTTGGGTTAGTAAGTACATCTTACATTGTATTCTTTCAGGCAGTTTTCCTGTGAATGTTGCTTTGGCTTACTATTTCCAACCTATCCCTATAAAAGAATTTCCTCTACAAATAATGACCAAGCTTTCAGCACACTAACATTCTTCAGATAAACTGATCTTAGTCATACTACCCTCATTTTGTACTTGTGAAATTGATTTTATGATCACATTTTAAACATTATCCTATGTGATCCAGTGTTCTTCTTTATCAAAATATTTTTGGATCCTGACTCAATCATAACTCATTGTATTAACTGTCTCTCCTAGCTTTCTGTCATCGGCAAATTTGATAAGCCTGCTGTTTTATCCTTTTATCCAAGTCATCAATAAAAATGTAAAGTGATACAGGGCCAAGTATAAATCCCTACTCCATTGGAGACTTTTTCCCTAGCTGACATCAGACCATTAATGAATATTCTTTGGGACTGATCATTCAACCACTCATATCCCTCCATCTTTTCCTCGATAATAGTATGAGAAGTTTTGTCAAATGCTTTGCTAAAATAATCTTAAATGAACTATAGCTACTGCATTTCTCCCACTTCTCTGTCTAGTAAGATTTTTTAAAAAAGGGTTAGTCTGCTATGACCTGTTCTTGATGCAGACATGATCGTGATAACTATTTCTACACAACTTCCTTTCCTGTACCTTTGTCACTAATCATTCCCTTAATATTGTGTAATAGAATCAAAGTCAAATTCCTTGGCTTGTAGACTCTTCCATTATCTAATTTTTTGTTACATCTCTAGCTCTACACAGTTTTTCAAAGATCACTGATGGTATTGTAAGAATCACATCTGAGGGGCCGCTAAGTTGCACAATGGCTAGAGCACCAGCACTGGAATCGGGAGGACATGAGTTCAAATCCGGCCTCAGACACATAACACTTAACAACTAGATGTGTGACTTTGGGCACGTCACTTAACCCCAATTGCCTTACAAACAAAAAAAAAAGAATCATGTCTGCCAGTTCTTTAGTTCTGCAGGATATAATTCATCAGGGGCAGGTGACTTGAACTCATCAAATGGCCATTAGTACCTCTTTTTGCTATTGTTATATGTGTTGGGTTTTAACTACCCATTTTATTCTTCCTTTGTAGTTCAGAAATTATTCTTTATGTCAGAAAAAGCAAAATAAGAATTAAACAATTAGGCTTTCTCTCTACCTTTAGTTATAATACCATCTACCATGACATGTAGAAGTCTTTCTGTTTCTTTGCTCTTTTTCTTCTCTAGAATATAGCTTTGGAAATCCCTTTTGTTTTCTATAGATGTCAACATCAGCCTTCTCTAATCTCTCAGTTGTTGTATCCCTGACATATTTTTACAGACCTCTCACACTTGCTTATCCATACCTGGTTTCTTACCCTTACTTCCATTGTTTGTGTGGTCCACAAATTTAAATCTCATTTTTAGACACTATGTACTCAGCCAGCTGTTTACTTTTCCAGCCACTTTTTCTCTTCTGATTTCCTTCATATAGAGTACCAAGATGAAAACTCTATCTGTGCCCCTAAGAGTTTCAATTTTCTTGTCCCAAACATTGCAATCTTTTTTTAAAAATTTTTTTTAACTTTTTAATTGATTTATTTTTAGTTTTCAACATTTGCTTCCTCGAGATTTTGAGTTCCAAATTTTCTCCCCATCTCATCCCTCCCTGCACCCCAAGATGGCATGCATTCTGTATACCCCTTCCTCTAATCTACCCTCACTTCTGTCTCTTCCCACCTTCTCTTATCCCCTACCCCTTCTGTTTTCCTGTAGGGCAGGATATATGTCAGTACCCCGTTTCCTGTATTTCTTATTTCCCAGTTGCATGTGAAAACAGTTTTTTTTAACATGTGTTTTTAAAACTTTGGGTTACAAATTTTCTCCCTTCTTCCCTCCCCACCCACCCTCATTGAAAAGGCAAGCAACTCGATACAGGTTATACATGTATAGTCATGCAAAATACTTCCATAGTAGTCATGTTGTGAAAAACTGAGTATATTTCCCTTCATATTATCCCACCCCCATTTATTCTATTCTCTCTTTTGACCCTGTCCCTCCTCAGAAGCCAAACATTTCAAGCTTTAGCAATGTTTTCTGAGTTTCCTACTGGTAATATCATTTGGCCATGTGACTTATTGTAGGTAGTAGTCATCTAGTTTGAATTTTGACTAAAAATGTCGATAAGATACTGACAGTAAACTTAGACATAAGCTATTAAAATGTCTCTCTTTTCATTTGTCCTTTGATGTCAACTTCCCTTGTCAGGTTTCCTTTCCCACTTTCTCTCAGTTTAATAAGAATACTTACATGGAAGAGAATTCTAACTTCTTACCACCAATCTATTTTAATTCTTGCTTGTATAAGCAGTTACCAATTTGCATTGCAAAAATTATTTTGTCAGTTAAAAACTTTTTTTCCATAGAAACCATGTTATGAATATTGATTAGACTCCTTAGCTGCCTCAGAAAAGCTGATTTTACCCATGATGTACCTGAAATATAAAACTAGAGAATATCTGACAGTCATTTAGGACATTTTTTTTATGGGAAAGTGTATTGAGATCTCACATATTGGGGATACAACATACATTTTTCCTCACTATAGCATGAGTATGGGTAGTAATCTCCTTGTCTTCTAACCTGTCAACCTCGCTATTGAGTAATGGAAGTTGAGACTACCCCAGGTCACAATTACTGTTGGTGCCTTGGCAAGGGTCAGTAGCATTGAAGGGAGAGCAAGGTGCTCTAGGGTTGTTGAAAGGGGTCTCAGTAAAGAGTGGTAGAAAGTTTGTTTTTCCCATTTGTAAATTATTTTGGAGTTCTTTTTGAAGAATAGTAAATGCTTTGCCTTATGTTTAATTTTGCTTTTTCTCATCAGTTAATAACTGTTAAAACTGTGTTTAAGACATTGCTTAGTTAACAGTGCGGTTTTGTTTTTTTTTCCTCCTTAAAGGTGGATCTCTCAACATGCCGTTGTTTGGTTTTCAAGAATAAAACTGTAATAGGACCACATACTACAGAAGAGATAAAAGTGCTTTTCATGCCAACTCACCCTGGGATTTTCAGATGTGTGTTAAGAGTTTCTTCCTGGCCTGTTTCATCAGATCCAGATACAATAGCCCAAGCAGAAGCTTTAGCAAGTAGAATTGTTTTAACAGCTATTGCTGAAAATCCTATTGTGGAGGTAAGTAATAGTTTAATAATACTTCAGGTAATTTAAAATAGATCAATTTACTTATTAGTGGTATAGCAGAAAGAGCATCGGGTTTCTTGTTAGAATGCTTGGGCTTAGTTTCCATCTCGGCCACTTAATAGCTAAGAGACTTCAGGCAAGTGACTTCATTTCCAATCTCATTTTTTTTTTTCATCTCAAAATCAAATAGTAATCATTTGGCATCTACATAACAGTGTTATTGCGAGGAAGGTACTTAGAGTGTAAAATGCTGTATAAAGGTCAATATATCATTGGCATTTTAGCCCAGGTAGCAATTATGTATAAAATCCATCTGAAATAAATAACTATATGTGTGTATGTAGATATACACACATAGAGGTAATGTGTATATATGTGTGTTTATACATGTGTTCATATATGTGTGTGTGCATATACACACATGAGTAGGTAACATAAAATTAATATGTCATTTGGTAAACATTTATTAAGCACCCACTATATTCTAGGCCCTTTACTAAACTCTGGGGATACAAAGAATGACAAAAGATAGTCCCTACCCTCAAGGAGCTTACAGTCTAATGGGGGAGGCAATATGCAATAAATATTTAATATCATCATTATAGTCAATATATACCTTTTGATTGAGAGAAACCAGATATCCCAGAAAGGCTTATAAAACAAAATACTGAATATGGAACTATAATACTCAACTATGAGCTGAGAGCTAAGTAGTAGTTTACATTTCAGGAAGAACTAAAAAAAAGCTACCTTTTTAGAGGAAGGTAACTATTTTTTTCTTTCTTTCAACAGTTGTTGAAATATAACACATTGACTGTGTGTTATATTTGGATTCTTAATACAGCTAGGCAGTAGAAAGAGATGAAGAAGGCCAGGTGGAAGCCACAGCATATTTGGCAGATATGGAGAGAGTTTTAAGGTAGAAGGATTATTGACAAAGGAAAAGCAAAGAATCTGACTCTAGAATTTATAAAATTTGAAATGATGACATTCAGATGATGAAATCAAATTTGACGATACATAAAATTGGGTTTCTTGTTTCAAAAATTTGTGCAGCAGCAACCCAATATGTAAAAGTTGACTAAAATGATCACTATTTATACATTGATATTTTATCCTCAAATGTTACATCTCCTCCAAACTTTTAAGAAGTGAATAGCATGTACTGAGAGAAGATTGACGGTCATTCCATATTTAGTTTTACAAGTGGTTCAAGATCTTAACCTACCTTCCTGATTACCTTTTATTGTCCTTAAGTATGTATTTAACTGTTTGGTAAAATTCTCTGTGGTGGTTAGAGGCCTTCTACCATGTGAGGTAAGAGTTTTTTACATTCATTTGCTGAATATTGATTTAAGCACCTATTGTATACATGGTAATATACTAGATACTTGGGGTCTGTGGGAGGGAGGAGATAGAGAAAAGTCAAAAATCGTACATAGTTTCAACCCTTGAGCAACTTCCAATGATAAGTAGATTTGAATTTTCCTGATTCCACCCACTTTCTAGTGTTCTCCCCCCCAATCCTTGTAAAATCTTTCTTGTGTGTATAAATATTATACATGTTGTTCCTCCATTATCTTTGAGGATAGGGACTGTTTGTTTGACTTTTGACATTGTTTCCCCATTGCCTAGCACATACGCCCTAAATAAATGCTTGATGATTGATTTAAAATAGCTATAGTGTCAATTTGAATATAGCTCTAGAATAAGATATACATTATGTATATATAGAGAGATAAATATCTATATATATCTATGTACACATATACATATACACATACAATGAAAATAATTATATAAAACTATTATATTTTAAAAAGTGGTTTATCTGTAAAAATCTAGAGTGTATGAGATGTTTTTTGAGGATCCTTTTTCTCCCTAAAATTGTAAGTTGCCACCCAATGTAAGATGTATAATAAGTTGAAGGGAATCCAGGAAAGTGGTGAAGTTTTTAATAGTAAAGAAACATAAGAGGCAGCTAGATGGCGCAGTGGATAGAGCACTGGCCCTGGATTCAGGAAGTCCTGAGTTCAAATATGGCCTCAGACACTTAACACTTACTAGCTGTGTGATCCTAGGCAAGTCACTTCACTCCATTGCCTCACCAAAAAAAAAAACAAACCAAAAACATGAGAGGTTGGATTTCTTGAAATTCAGGAGACATGGATCACATGTCCATTCACATCTCTTTCCATATTGCACTTCTAGGGAAGTACCTCACTCGTTTTCAAAGCTTAGAAACCATATTCTTTGGGATTTAACACCTTGACAACCTTCTCTAATTTTTTTTTTTAAAGAAAAGTTAGCATAAACATAGCAGTGATTATTGAGAAAAGGCATATCCTGTATATGGACTAACATATAGGGAAGTTTGTGAGTGCTCAGTGAGTGGTTAAATACAATAGGAGCTCAGAGGAAAAGAGGGTTTAGTATGGGTTGGAATAATTGTCACAAATCTCATGATATAAATGAATCTTAAGTTGAACATTGAAGAATGAGTAGGATTTCACTAGACACCAAGCAGTTTTGAAGGAAATAGCATGACATGAATTCAGCTTGGCTGGCAGCAGTTCAAAAGATGTATTCATAGATATAGGCCATTCAGACCTGAGCTGAGGATTTGTTATACAGGGAAACAGTTAAAGATTAGGTTAGAAGAATAAATTGAAACCTTTCCAGGTTATGGAAAGCCTTCAATGTTAGGTTAAGAATTTTGGACTTCATCCTGTAGGTAGAAAAGTTGTAGAAGGTGATATAACAAAAGTTTAATTTTTGAAAAAATGTATTTAGTGTCAGTATGTAGCATAGTTGAAGTGAGAACAAATTCTGGGGTGAGGAGGTTTGTCTTTTAAAATACTTTTCTGGAGAATCTAGAATTTAGACATACTTCTGATCACCATCAGAAATAATGTTTTTGGGAACAGGGGAATATAACACTGCAATCATGTCCCTTTTTGTCATTTCTTCCACTGTTTTCAATATATTATAAAAGATACAGACACATCACATGCTACTTTTTTCCTTTTTGATTTGGGCTGTGCCTATACCTCAGATTGTCATCATTTTAAATAAATATTTTCAATGTTTAAGGACCAAATTAAGTCTGAAATATGTGTTTTGATACAGAATTAAATGCAACAGCTATCATTTCTTAGGGCAGTTATGTGCCAACTACTGTGTGCAAAAAGAAAAAAAAACCCAAAATAGGCCCTATAGAATACTTCTGTTTTGTTGTGAACTCTTCAAAATGCAGCTATGTAATTTTGAACCTGTAGTTTTTATTTTAGGATGAAGTAGTATATGTATGGACTGCTAAGTGTGCGTGCAGTAGATGGAGTGCCAGGTTTAGAGTCGGGAAGACTCATCTTCTTAAGTTCAAATTTAGCCGCTGTCATTTAGTAGCTGCATGACCCTGAGCAAGTCACTTACCTCTTTTTGCCTCAGTTTCCTCATCTGTTAAATGAGCTGGAGAAGAAAATGGCAAACCGCTCCAGTATCTTTGCCAAGAAAACCCCAAATGAGGTCATAAAGAGCCAGACACAACTGAAACGACTGAACAGCAATGACAGTATGTATACAGGGTATCCAAAAAGTCTTACTCTTCTCTGTAGAGCTTAAAACTACCTCAAGACTTTTTTTGGACACCCTGTATTTAAACATAACTAAGTTTGGTAGTTTTTTCTGATAAATTTTGATATACACTTGAATATTTCATAAGTAGAGTTTAAAATTAGAATTTCTGAACAGTGCTCTAGGGCAATTTACTTGTGCTGAGGTTATTAGGAATTAAGCATAATGGCATCTTCGTCTGTGACTTAGGTGTTTCTTTTTGGGGGGGGGGAGGTAGGGGGCTGGGCAGTGGTGGGGTTAAGTGACTTTCCCAGGGTCACACAGCTAGTAAGCGTCATGTGTCTGAGGCCAGATTTGACCTTACGTCCTCCTGACTCCAAGGCCAGAGCTCTATCCACTGTGCCACCTAGCTGCCCTATATTGTAATTCCTTTTTTTTTTTTTGTGAGGCAGTCGGGGTTAAGTGACTTGCCCAAGGTCACTCAGCTAGTACGTGTCATGTGTTGGGTCTGAGGCCAGATTTGAACTCAGGTCCTCCTGACTTCAGGGCCGGTGCTCTATCCACTGCGCCACCTAGCTGCCCCTCCTATATTGTAATTCTTAATGAAACATTTCAGTATCATAGTTTAAAAAAAGTTATTTCTTTCATCATTAAAAAACAGGTGGAACCAGTCAAGACAGACTTCCTTGATTTTGGAGATCTAACTTATGGAAGTTGGAAAGTTCTCCCATTAAAGTTGATAAACAAGACTCATGCTGTTATTCCAATTAGGCTCATCATCAATGCAGTAAGTATACCATATATCTCAAGTAAATTCAGAAGCCTGTCTTGTATTTGGAATTTTAGAAATAGCTGGGTTTGAAGTAGTCATAAAGTTCTATTATGAATAATAGTTTGCAAATAGTTGTTTAAAATCCATTAAATTTTGGTTGAGCAGTACCCAGACATTAGAATTTCAGGCAACTCTCATGTAGTATTGCGAGCAGTATGGTGTAGTGGAGAGCTGGCTTCTGAATTAGTAAGAGTTTGGTTCAAGTCTAACCTTTACCACTTGTTGGTTTTGTGATCCCAGACAAGTCATTTGACTTCTTATTGCCCCAGGCAACTTACTAAGAGTATAGGTTGCACAGAAGGTGCATTGATAAAGTAAGCATCTCAGCAGGAGCTCCTAAACATTTGTGAAATCATAGGTCCATATATGTACAAAAAATATTTATAGTAGCAAAGAATTGGAAATTGAAGGAAAGGCTGAAACAAGTTGTATTCCATTATATATGAATGTAAGGGAATACCATTGTGCTATGAGAAATGACAAGCAAGCAGATTTCAGAAAAACCTGGAAAGACTTAGATAAACTGATGAAAATGAAGTGAGCAGAGGAGAACATTGTACACAGTTACAGCAATGTTTTGTGATGATCCGCTATGAGTAACTTAGCTCTTCTCAAGCAATACAATGATCTGAGACAATTCCAAAGGACTCATGAAGGAAAATGCTATCCATATCCAGAGAAAGAACTGATGGAGCCTGGATGCAGATTGAAGCATACTATTTTCACCTTCTTTGTCTTTTTTGTGTTTTTTTTCCCCTTTCGTCTGTTTATTCCATGACAACGTGAGTAATATGGAAATATTTTTTATGTGATTGCACATGTATAACTTATTTAAACTTTTACCTTTTTAGTTATAACATTGCTGTAACTGTACAACGTTCTCTTCTGCTCACTTCATTTTCATCAGTTTATCTAAGTCTTTCCAGGTTTTTCTGAAACCTGCCTGCTCATTTCTTATAGCACAATAGTTTTCCTTTACATTCATATGTAATGGAACACAACTTGTTCAGTCATTCCCCAATTGATACGCATCCCTTCACTTTCCAATTCTTTGTCTTTTTCAGGAGAAAATTTAGAACTCAAAAATTTTTTTAAATGAATGTTAAAGATTGTCTTTACATGTAATTGGAAAAAAATAAAATACTATTATAAAAAAAAAGAAATCATAGGTCAAGTTAAAAAGAAGGATTCAGCATTGCTGAGGTTAATTTTTGTGTTTTCCAAACAGAATGCTATAGCTTGGCGTTGCTTTACATTTTCTAAAGAACCAGTTAATACTTCTTTAGAAACTGCTCTTCAGAGTGATGTAATTACTCAGCTCACAGCTCCTTCTGTTATAAACCATGTGATGTATGCCAGTCGTGATGGACATGTAAGTTGGGAGTTTTTAATATTTATCTTAAGTAGAGGGCAAGGCTTCCAAAGAATTCTTTCATTAAATTAATTGTAATGAATGTCCATTTTGCGAAAAACAAAAACAAATTGTTATGATTTTCTTAAATCTTAACAGTGTCTATATTTAATATCTTTGCATTTCCAGGATCCAGAATTTCTGAAGATTTGGGTTATGTTCCATGGTCCAAAAAAACAGATTTCTGCTTCAGGTATTTCTTAATAGCATTTTGAAATTATTGTTGTAATTTATAAAATTTTTCACTAACACTATTGGATAATTTAAGGCTTTTTGACCTTAATATATAATGGAGTGAACATTTTAAATAAACAACATTAGGTCTGTGCACAAGGAGTAGAGATGGAGGACCTCAGATAAAGAAACTTACATGTATTCGTGGGCAGTGAATTACTTTTTTTTTAATCAGTATTTTGAAATCCTTACAGTAAAAACATTATTACTTCAAACTTAATTAATTTTGAGTTTGTGATAATTGTATCCTGGCTAAGCTTAATTTTATCCAAAGTTGCTAATAAGTTACATTATCTAAAAATAAGGGTTCAAAGAAGTCTCTCCAATCAGAAGATCTGCACCAATTCCTGCTTCTTATCTTAAGATCTCTTTTACTTTAGGAAAATTATTTAATCTCTTTAAGTCTTTTTTCTCAACTGCAAAGTAGGAACAATACTTGGACTGACTATATCACAGAGTTGTGAGGATGTGCTTTGTAGGTATAAAGGGCTGTAGTCACATCTCCATTTTATGTAGTTTCTTGTTGCTGCTGCTCCTGCTATGTGCTACTTGAAGGACATTTGACCTATTTAATCATTTTTAAGATCCTTACAACATTATATAGAAATTGATGCTGACTCTATTCATTAAAGTGGGCCCCAAAAATGAGAAAACAACCAATACCAAACAACTTCAATTCAATTATTTGTATGACTCTTTGCCTTTAGGGTTGTACTGTTTTTATGTTAAAACAGTCATTCATTTGTATACTTGAAATTGCTATAAAGATTTTTTAAAAAATTAATTTGAGACTTTTCATTAATCATAGTGGTGCCTTACAGTTTACTATAATTATCTCATTTGATCATTCCATCAGCCCTATGTGGTAAGTAGGGCACATATACCTATTTTTCTGATAAGAAAACTGAGCTTACAAGGAGGTTAAATGACTTGTATAAATTTGGAGTTGGTATTAAAACTGAACTCTTCTTCCTGTTCTAACTATACATTTGTATTAACTGTACATTCATTACCCAGCATCCTTATCACAAAATTTAGTTCTCTTGACCCTTAGAATCAGTAGCTTTCTCCAAAGCTCAATTCAAATGTTATCTTCTTCATGAGGCCTTCCTTGATCCTCTCCCCTGCTAATGCCTTTGCCTCAAAATTACTTATTTATACAGTCACACACTTGAGTTACATATCTCTTCCTTATAGAATATAAGCTCCTTGAGGACAGGAATTGTTTCTTTTTAGTAGATGTGTCACCAACACCTACCACAGTGCCTGATTACACATAGTAGGTACTTAATAATTACTTGTTGATTAATTATTCAGTTCAATTTGTCTTTAAAGTCAGGGGAAATAGCTGCTTTATGAACCAGGATCAGATTAAGGGAGTGTTTGTTTTTGATTTTTTATCTCATTTTTAAAAAAGAAATAAATGAGGATCTAAAGGTATGTATGGCTTTTCTTATGTACTAGTGCATGCCAGTTTTCTAAAAAAAATTTTTCCAACTGTGTCTTCTTACTATATCTCTAGTGATGCAGTAGATTGGGATAGGTAATCCAAAAAATTATTTGGCTTGTCAAAAATTTTCCATATCTGAAGTTTCCGTTTCTTGAGTGTGTGACTTAATGGTGAAGACTGAAATAAGCTACTAAATTGACAACAAATGAATTAATTCCAAATTGATTATTACTAGATAATTTTTACATATTTTCTCCCAAGATCCTTCTGTTCTTCAGCAGAAAAGTAAATACAGTGTCTGCCCCTTAATGGTTTGGGGTTTATTAAAAACTAAGAAATTTCTCTTTATTTGAGAGTTGTCTGTTTGCAGGTATACATCTGGTTCCCTTACACAGTGGGATTATAAAAGAATAGAAAACAAATAGTTTTTGTCCTTGAATTAAAATTCATCTCGTTTTAGTGTTTCTTTCTCTGACCTATTGAACTTAACTTATTTATGCAGAGTTTTTTAGACCCACCTTTACTCCTCTTGACTTTTTGGGCATACACTGTTGCTTGTTTAACCTGTAATACCTTCTGATAAATATTTTTCCTTATATGCTCCATGTCAGACTCCTTTGTAGTTGTCCTTTTTTTTGGAGGGGGGTGGTGCTAGTTAACCATGATCTGCTTTAACGTATACCCAGTGATGATAACTCCTTGAGGCCTGGAACTGTTGTTTTTTTGGTTGGTTTTTTGAAATCACAACACGTAGTGTTTTGAACACAAATATTCTTCATGCATTACCCAAAGTTCATTTTGATTTTAGTCATATAATTTGTAACATGCTGAGTCACGTTACGTTACTTTGAAATTCTAGTTTCTGCCGATTTGACTTGATTTGGCTAGAGGCAGACAGTTTTACCAAAAAGGGACGGTAATATAATCAGTTATGTTATCAATATTATTTTGCAGGGAATCTGGGCCCAGCAGAAGAATTTTTGGCAAGAATTGATGTGGAGGTTGATAGCCCAAGCCCTACTACTGTTATTAAAAGTGTTGCTCTTCGAGCAAGAGTAGGAATAGCTAGGATACATGCTCCAAAAGACTTGCAGGTACTATAATTATAAAACATAAAACTGATCTTTCATCTAGTATAGTTTTAAAATTTAATATTAATCAATTTTTGGATAATTTAGTATTATGATTTTTCATTTCAGTCTTTTATTTTTTTTAATATATTGCATTCATTTTGAATTATACTTCTTCTACTTATTGATCCATTTCTTACACAAAGATTAAAAAAGAAAAATGGGAAAGTAGGACAATAAAACTGACAGGCTTTGTGGGACAGTATATGCAATATTTTACCCCATTTCTCTCTACTGATGCAGGTGACACTCCTTCATAGCATCTTCTGTAGTTTAACTTTGATCCATGTTTTACCATAGTTAAGGGAATTCATGTGGCACATTGGATGTTTTTCTTTTAGTGATAACCCACTGTTCATTAAAAGAAAATAAACCTATTGTCTTTTCTCTAGAGTATGCTTTTGTTTGCCAGTGTGGGTTCATCAACAAAGCAATTTTTGCCTTTGAAAAATGCTGGAAATATTGATGTCTACTTGAATATTAAGGTAAGACTTATTAATAGTGCTGAGTGGTAGTGTTTTTAAAAGAAACTTTTGAGAATACTACTTTATAAATATAGTGAAAGTGATATAGTATGATATCGTAGGAAAGTGAGACAGCATGATATAGTAGGAAAAATATACAATAGTATGTTTTCAGAATTGATTGAAAAATATAGTATTCTTATTAGTCAGAACCTAGGGTTTTACATATAAGCACCAAAAACCTTCGTTTCAGTGTACAGCAAAGGGGAATTAGAGGAGAATAAGATAATAGAGGTGTGTTATTCAAAGGTAGGGAACTGGGTATGACCTAAGGAGAAGACACCATTAAAACTTTTCCTCCCAGACTAGGAGGCTATAGACACAAAGGTAATTCAAAGTGGTAAGCCGAGGAAAAGAAGGTACAAAAGATTGTACAAGGGAAAAAACAGTGGTGCAGGAAAATAGAATTATAGTCACATGGGCATTAAATGACTTCCATTTGTAATCATACACATTTTTAAAGATTTCAGATCAATTCAGTTACTTTTCTGTGAACCCAGAAAATCTCTTTCTTAAACCTGAAGAGGAACAAGAAATTACAGTTTCATTTACTCCGAAGGATTTCAAAATTTATGAAGAAAGGTGATGTAAAATATTTCATGCCCTGATATGTGCTGTTACTTGACATCTTTAGCTTTAAGTGAATCCAGTGATTTGAATACACTACTATCAGGTGGCATTGTGCTGGAGTCACCTGGTCAAAACCATAAGGTATTTATTTTTCCCTAGGTTCCAGATAGTAATAAGCTCTTAACTTAAACCATCAGTTTTCCACTCCTTATTTATTATAAATTATCTTTTTATCGTAATAGCTGATTGTAACCATTTTTAAAAACTAAATCTTTAAAAGGACTTCAGATAAACTTTTTGAACGCTGAAAGTATCTGTTACATTTTTAACAAAACCTATAGTTATTTAAAGATTGAAAGCCTATTTCTGTCAAGCTTTTAGCTTATTTCCATTTTTGTTTATCTTGAGAAGGTTTTTATATCTCAGACTTACCCAGTTATATGATTCATAGATGCTCAATGAATAACAACTCAAATCTTGGAGTTAGATCTTACTAGTTTGTTAATCAGTTTTTTATCAGTTTTGCTATCATAGTTACCTGGGCTTTATGTTTTCTCATTGGTTGGCTACTCTTTTCAGCCACAGGTGGCCCATATCTCCCCAACTAAACTGTTCAAGTTAATTACATGGAAGGCCTCATAAGGTTTACCGTTTCAATTTTGCTCTTTGAAACCCTGCATCCTTACCTCCACTTATAAGAAAAACAGAAGAGATAGCAATCAAGTCCAAATACTTTTCAGAAAGTCTTATATGAAATCTTTGAATTTAAAGAATTCTAGTGAAGAGTAACTCTTTCTTTCAAGGCGACCCATTCAGTTTTTGGATAGTTCACACCAAATTTAATCCACTTTCTGAATAACCCATTATTTATTTCCTAACTGATCCTTTATGTTCCATATAGCAATTTGAAAGAGGACACATTCCTTCAAATGTCCCATAAAGAACCAGTTAGGAAATTAACAAAATTATTGTACGTAAGCTAGTATCATTTGGGATTCCCATTAGTGAGGAGTATAGTAGAAGTATTTAGTTATCTTTTCTGCTGAGACATTTTACGCTGTCACCAATCAATAGCCATCTTGCCTCACCAAACCCAAGGATTTCTTTCAGCATCCCATTGATCTTCCTTTCCCTCTCTGTAGGTGATCTCCAGACTTCCTAGAAATACAAGTAGGTCTTCTTCAGAAAAATATTAGTGGACACATATCTACTTTTATCTGCTTACAAGAATAGACACCTCTCTACCTGTCTGGGGCTTAGAATCAGAAGATAATAGTTTTAAAACTAGAAGGGACCTCAGAGGCGATCTAGTGCAAATCCCTCCCCCCCCACCCCTTTTTTAATACACATGTGGAAATTGATACCCAGGGAGGTTAAATGACTTGCCTCTACTCACACATGCAATGAGCCTTAGAAGTAAAATTTGAAAACAAATCCTCTTTTCTTTGTACCTTGCTGCCTCAATACTGTTGTAAAATATAAGTGCTCCTCTTAAGTCTTTGATCAGAAGGAAGCATTTTTCCATTTCAGAATTGCTGTTAAGAATGAAATTGTTTTTCTTAAGCATTTTGTAACATGTAAAATACTTCTTCAGCCCTCATATAATTTTTGAGATTATTAGAATTATTTTGTTAATGTTTATTTTATTATTAGATTATTTGGCATAAATGCCCTCATTCATTTTCATGTACATTTTGTTTTTATGTGATTTCCATTTTTCAGAATATCCTTCCTATGTCCCAGAGAGCCATCCCTTTTAATAAAGAATTTTAATAAAAAATAAAATAGAGGGGGGAGGGAGAGTTAGGAAGAATTAATCAACATGGGGCAGCTGGGTGGTATGGTGGATAGAGCACTGGCCCTGAAGTCAGGAGGACCTGAATTCAAATCCGGCCTCAGACCAAACACTTGACACTTACTAGTTGTGTGACCCTGGGCAAGTCACTTACCCCCAATTGCCTAAAAATAAAAATAGAAAATTAATATATAAAAAAAGTCTTACATTATAGACAGTTTTCCTCACCTGTAGTCCTACAGCTTTGTAAAGAAGCAGGGAGATAACCCTTCTTTAGCATCAGGCATCAGTCAGTCAATAAACATTTGTTAAGAGCCTGCTTTGTGCCCGGCTTTGTATGCTAAGTGCTGAGGATACCAAATGAGCCCAAAGACAGTCTCTGCCTTTGAAGAGTTTGTAATCTAATGGGGAAGACCATATGAAAACGAATCTATACAAAGCTAGCTATATACAGGAAAAATAAAATGGTTCTTAAAATTTCACAGTATTCTGTTTTGATTGGTTGATGTTTTTTTCATTTATATTGTTTTAGTTATTTAAAAAAATTATTTTTTCTGGTTCTGCTTACCTCATTTGATACAAATTTTCCCATTCTTCTCTCATCATGTTTATCATTTCTTCTATCACAGTAATATTTCAGTACATCATGTACAACATTAGGTTTGGCTATTCCAGTATCTGGAAAGTATCTGCTTTTTTTCCAGCTCTACTGCAAAGAGTTCTGTAATATTTTGGTACATATCAGTTATTACTTTCTTGGGATATATGCACAGTAGCAGGAGCTCTGGACCAAAGAACATGGACATCCTGGTCACTTTTTTTAAACATGACTCCAAATTGCTTTTCAGAAAGGTTAGACCAATTCATTGCTACAGTACTGTGCCTGTCTTTCCACAACCCCTCCAACACTGACTAGTTCATTTTTTTCACCTATCTTTTACAATTTGCTGAGTGTCTGTGAAACTTTGAGTTGTTTTGATTTTTCCCTTCTTTTACTCATTACGTAGAGCATTCTTTCGTATGATTGCTAATAGAAATTTTTCTTTTGAGAACTGTTCATTCATATCCTTTGATCACTTACATGTTGGGGATTGAGTTTACTATAAAATTTAAGGTACTGTGAATTTATTCTGATGGCTATAGGTCAGGCTAATTGATTTTTCTCATCTTTTAATGCTTTACCCTCACCCCCCCCCCCTTTTTTTTTTGCTTTATGGTGACGCGATCGGGGTTAAGTGACTTGCCCAGGGTCACACAGCTTAGTAAGTGTTAGGTGTCTGAGGCTGGATTTGAACTCAGGTCCTCCTGACTCCAAGGCCAGAGCTTTATTCACTGTGCCACCTAGCTTCCCCCTCCCCTTTCCCCCTTTAAAAAAACATCTCAGCAAACAAAATGAGCATATAGAAAATTGAGCTGTAATGCTCTCTTGAGGCTTTAGGTAGGTTGGTCCTTACAAAGTTCTTAGATAACTTGTAAATCTTTGTTCCAAACCTGTGGTCTACAGAATATCCTTCCAAGGGAGCCACAGAGGGGTATTTTCCCAGTTGTCATTTACTGTTAGTACATTTAATATCATAAAGTATGTGATATTTCTTATGTTGAAAAGGGAATCATTTTGCTTAAATGTTGGAAACCACTGTTCAGTGTGATATATTTAGAAATCATTAATTAAATAAGCGTTACTAAGTATGATGTAAGCTATTCAAATTTTTCTTTGTATAGCCTCTTGAAAATACTAGTGCAGCCATCCGGGCCTCAATATGAAGTAGTGTTGAAAGGTGAAGTAGATTCTTCAGGAAACAAGTATCAGACACCTGCACCTTCATCTCACTACTCAGATGTTCCACCTATTTTATCCAACAAGCAATTCATGACATGGGGAGGTATTGCAGTTGGAAGAACACAGTAAGTATCAACACATCAAGTCTTAACTGTAGTTTTATCCTTCCCTACTGTGTTATTTTATGCTGCCATTTGAAAAATGGTAGTTGTATATTGAACTTCAGTTGTTCTCTTTTCAATAACCTTTTGCTTTATTAAAAAAAGATACTATTGAAAAAGTCATGAACTACAGGAAGCTCTCAGAAAATCATAAGTTAATTATCTGCTTAACATCTAGTGGCCAGATCAGGCAGTCAGCAAAAGTTAAGCTAACACTGTGATGAACATTATAGATGGAGGTCAAAGAAATTGGAGCCATGGTCATTGGCTTCAAGGTGTTTTTAAGTTGACAGCTCAAAATGGTATAACACGAATGAACATAAATGATTGTGAATTACTTCAGGAATCACTCTTGGTGGAAGAGATGAATTCCAGCAGACAGCTGAAACTTTTTCTGATCATTGAATCTTATTTCCCTGTTAAGTTTAATTGTAAAATTATGGAGGGCACTATACTACATTCACAATGTTTTACACCAGTAGTGTCACACACAGAAACAGGGGCTAGTAATCCATACATAGGAATCCCTGCGAGCCCCATATTGACTTAGTTTTTTTTTTTTTTTCCAGTTTTTGTTTTTGTTTTTGGTGAGGCGATCGGGGTTAAGTGACTTGCTCAAGGTCACACAGCTAGTACGTGTCAAGTGTTTGGTCTGAGGTCAGATTTGAACTCAGGTCCTCCTGACTTTAGGGCCGGTGCTCTATCCACCGCGCCACCTAGCTGCCCCGACTTAGTTTTAAAATGTAATATTTTCTATGTTTTATTTTATTTTAATTTATTTTGTTAAATATTTCCCAATTACCTTTTAATCTGGTTTGAGTGATACTTGAGAGTGTTGCAGTAGCCATGTGTTTGACATCTCTATTTTACACCAACTTCAGATTGATTTTTGTTTCTTTTGTTTCTTATTTTGTGTTCTTTTTCTATCATTTGAACTTATTGGCCTCTTTCCAGAAGTACTTTTTGGCAAGGGGGGAGGAGAGGAGGAATTCTCTAACCAATAAGCCAAATCTTACCAGTAGGACAAACTTTATCCAAGAATTTTAAGACTGGAAGAGAATTGAGAGGTAATTTTAAAAATAATGGTATTGGCCTAAATGAGAAAACTAAGGCTTAAAAAAATTTAAGGGACTTTTCAATGTTACAAGCTGGGAGTATAAAATTCAGGGTAACATGGTATGTGATCAGTAGCTTAAGTATAATATAGTTTTAAAATGCTTTAGTCTCAGAGACTTTAAGATGGCAATATTATTTCATGAAAATGGCTTGTATTTTGTAAAAAGAGATGGCACCTGATCAAATGAGATATTTGTAAAGTGCTTTAACACAATGTCTGGCACATAATAAGCATTTAATAAATTTTGCTTGTTCTCTTCCTCCTCTTCTCTCTTATGTCCTTTTTAAAATAAGGAGCTGATGTTTTTCTTAAGGAATGAGTAAAATAGAGCATTAATTCTGTAAATTCTTCTAAATTTAAAAGAAATCAAGTGGAACCTAAAATTTCTCTTAATAAATTTCTACTCTTTTTGCCCTTGGTAGAAGAAAAATTTTTTCACCCTTGTTAGTTTGCCACAGCATTCTTGAATAGGTCATGATACAGTAGTGTATATTATCTGTGACATTGAAGGGATAAGTCATTACTAATACACATTACAACTTCCGAATTTTTTGATCCAATTAAGGACTAAAACGTACATCCCATGCTTTAAGTAGAGATATTAGAAAAGGGAATATTGTAACTTTGGAGCAAATGAACAATTTCATGAGTGGAAAATAGACTAGAAGTTAGAAAGACTGATTCATCTCCCTTTTGAAGTGGGTATTAGGAGAAACAAGATGATTTTAGAAAGAAACTTTATTGCTGAAGTTTGTCATTGATTGTACCTGCCTCAGAATTTCACATGAAGGTCTTTTTTGCAGAAGAGGTCTGAAGGAAGTTGTTTTACCAAGTTCTTTCCTAGAGCTCCAAGGACTGTACTAAATTTATCCTGTATAAAACTAATTACTGCAAAAGCTTTATTTTGATTATAGAGCTTTACTGACCATTAATACACTCAGGTTTCAGTATTTATAGATACAGCATAATCTTATTGCTTCATAATTTGATAACTCAGGGTAGAACTTTTACATTGCCAATCTGTGAAGAAAGGGTTTGTGTTTAAAACTCCCTCAGCCCTCTCCTTTTTGGTTGAGATTTGTAATTTAATAAGTATAGAGAACTTTCAGTGTGGAAACTCCCTACAGATACTGGGCAACCAGGTACTGTATATCAGTGTCTAGGCTCCAATGTATAGTATTTAAGAATGGCCTTGAGAAGTTAAGTAACTTTACCATGCTTACACAGAGGCAGGACTTGAACCCAAATCTTCTTGACTCTTAGGTCAGTTCTCTATCCATTGTGCCACGCTGCTTCTCTATTTTGTGTTTATGCAAGAATAATAATTATTCTAAATCTACTTAGGATCAGTTGTTTTTGAAATGTTGGAAGCCTCTACCAACTGAATATATGCCAAATGAGTTTTAGTTTTTTATTAAACCAGGATCAACAGAACCTCTACTTGAAAAGATTTTGTTAGTATTTAAACGTATAACTTGAAAGAAATATAGAGCATTTAAAAAACTTTACTTTTCATTTCTCACAATAAGTATAAATATTAGATTTAGCTTTGAATTTCAACTTTTTTAAATATCTAGAGATTAAACTGATAAACCTGTTTTGGGGACACATTTTGATCAAGGCACTAGAGCATGACTTCAATAAAATTAAGCTTTAGTCTCAGGATTAAGGTATAAATAAATAGAAGACAAGGTATTGCTACATACTTTCCAAGCGTAGTATTTGATCTTTAGCTGTTAACACATGGCCTTTCAGACATTAAAGATTTTTGACATTCCCACCCTCTCTTGCTGCTTTTTATAGCTATACTGTACTGAAACACAATAAAAGTGTCCTTTGGGTAGTGGGTAAAAAACTTGATGGAGTGTAATTTAGGATGTCCTTCAGTTAGCATACCTCCTGTGAAACATTGCAAGAAGGGTGAGAGTAGGTATTTAAAATGACTACTTTGGGAATAGTAAATGATATCTTGGAAAATGTAGATGTCTGGGTGAGTAAGTTTGGATATTTTGGTTCTCAGAATGAATTTTCAACATGATGCAATGTTTCCTGAATTATTCTGTGGAAAGCTGGTATCTTGTGTTATATAAATAGGGATTTAATGGCAAAATTTAAATATCAGTTCTGTTTTTACCTCCAAAATATCAAATATGCTGTTGCATACATAATAGGTATTTATTACATGTAACGACCTGGGTTATGAAAATAAACAAATTTTTTCCATTTTGGCCCTCCCCAAAATCCCACCAAAATTCTTTTATCCTTGTTTGTTCCATAAGTTCCCACAATTTGATTGATATTTATGGGTTCTTATATGCCCAGTCTAGGAGTGTTTTTTGACCAGATTGGTTTGGGAATTCTTTATTCATTTGAGTAAATTTCTTTAGTTAAAGGCTTTTATTTGGCATAATGTAAATGTTAAGAGTAAAGGGATGATGGGTCAGCTAGGTGGTACAGTGGATAGGGCACCAGCCCCTGGAGTGAGAAGGATCTGAGTTTAAATCCAGCCTCAGATCCTTGACACTTACTAGCTCTGTGACCCTGGGCAAGTCACTTAATCCCTATTGCCTTGCCCAGAAAAAAGAGTAAAGGGGTGATGAATATTTATGACAGTCGAAAATTTAAACACAAGCTTTTTTTTTTCTTTTTTTTCTTTTTTCTTTTAGACAAATGCTAAAACTTAAATACATAATAAGAAAAGAAAAAAGTCAATGCACAACAGAACATAGGAGAGGATTCAAAATATATAGCAATAACTCCTCATTTCAAGAAAGCCTGTATATTAAATACTGTGCATTATGTTGGAAGTTGTCCATCTTTTCTTTGCTTTCCTATAGGTTTTCTTTTTTTCTCTGCTGTATACTTTTTACTTTGTTCTTTTTTTCTCCCTTTATCCCCCTCTGCTCACCACCCCAAGGCTACAATTGAGCATGGATATATTTGTATTTAAGTATTGATACATACATACATGTATACATAATTATACATACATACATAGACACACACATATGCTTTTCCTAAGAGATCCTATTGCCAGTCTTTGTTTTTATGTTTGTGCATATCTGTTTTTTTCCTATCTCTCCTAACTTCCCCACTTTATTTCTACTTGTTACCTTACCCTCCTGTTACTTAACCTACCCTGACTCCAGCCATCCCTTCCTTATCCTTCCATTCCTCTAAATCTAAACTCCCTTCTGTATACCCCTTTTAACCTATTCCCTCACCCTCCCCCCTAAAGATCCCTTCTTTATCCTTTCCCTCTCCCTATACCCTTAGAGTTTAATTTCTTTTTAAATTTAGAACACTTTTATGTTCTTAACACAAGTTTTTAAAAGTAGGTTTTGAACCCTGGTTTTTAAGGAACTAAGGAACATGGATTTGTGAAAAGTTTTTGTTTTTAGTTATAAAGTTCATGTAGAAAAAAAGTTCCTGTTAAAACTTTTTTTTTTTTAAGTCTTCAGAAACTGGCACTCAGAAATAACTCTTCATCTACAACTCAGCGTTTACGTCTACTGATAAGAGGACAGGATCAGGATTGTTTTCAGGTTTGTACAATGTACTTGTTAAGTTGAAAAACACTTCTAGGAAAATCTGTACTAGCAGTCTTCGGAGAATTAGCTTAGTTTATAAAAATTGTTTTTTTGTCTTTTATCTTTATATCAGTCGTTTCCCGTCCCTGTGCTAGATTGAACTTTCTTATATGATAGAAAAACAATTAAACAAAAACATGCAGTTCAGAAACATTGACAGTACTTATACCATATTCTGTCCTGACAACGAATTTAGTTTTTCAGTATTTATCTTTTAAATGTCAGATGTTGTAATGACAGTTTAACTTGCATTATTATCTATTGTATATAAAAATTGTTCTTTTTGTTATTTGTAGCTTCAAAATACTTTTGGTTTAGAAGAACGACTAACAAGTAACTGTGAAATCAGAATTCGTCCGAAAGAGGACATTAACATCTTCTTATTGTTTGCACCAACCCGAATATCTTGTATGCTGGCTAAACTTGAAATTAAACAACTAGGAATTCGATCACAACCAGGCATTAAATTCAGTGTAAGATAAACTTTACTTGTTTTAATATAGTTTCTTTGTTTTTGAGTTACCTGACAGTGGCTTGCTTAGCTGTTTACCAATTCACCTTTCAAACTAAAAGGTGTGTGCTTCTTTAAGTAGAATCTGGTATATGATGGTCTAGACTAAGGGGGGGAGTGATGCTTTAGGATTTTTCACTTTGCAGAAAGTTCAGTTATGGGATTCCCTTAGAAGTATACTATCCAAGTGTATTTTCAGTATTTAGATATTTGAAAATTGATATAGTGCAAATTATCTGTCACATAAAGCAAGATTCAACTGTTAAAATGTTGAATTTGCTTGCATGAGTTCTTATAGAATCAAATGGTTTTTATTCAAGCTTATGATTTAATGATATGTCAGATTTATTAAACTATACCATTCTGTCTTTATTTAGAACATTTTTTCTTGCTTACTAATAATTGTCTAGCTTTGAAATTTTGAGGGGAGGAAAGCCTATGCATTTTCTATCAGGTGCTCAAAACCTAAGATTTCTTAGGATCATAGATCTTGAGTTGAAAGGGACTCTTGAAGCTGTTTTATCTAACATTGGGGCCCAAGCAGGTTCTGTGATCTAGCTTCACAAAGGTAGTAAACATTAGAGGTGGGATCTGGCTCCAGAGCCAGTACACTTTTCACTAAGCTGTGTGTTCCCAGATAATTGGAATGAATAAGGAAGGAGGATCACCTTAGATTAGATGCTTCTTTCAATATCTTATCTGTAAGGTTTCAAGTTATAACTTGTAGTTTCAGGAATTTAAAGAAATCCCCCAAAATATAATAGTTATGGGGAGTAGCCATGATATCATAGATAAAAAGGTGGCCTGGAAGCTGGGAACACTTGTATTCAAGTGCTGCCTCTGGCATGTCATGACTCTGGTTTTGAGCCTTTTGGTGCCCCAGGCTATTCTCTAAGACAGAGGTGTCAAACTCTGGGCTGTGTAATTGGGAAATGTTTAACAAAATAAATAATAATATAGTACAGCGTAGATAGTGTTAAATTGTGGTTTTCTAAGTCAATATGCAGCCACAGAGGTCAGTTTCTATTTGAGTTTGACATAGCTGCTCTAAGACTGTAATTTGCAGAAAAGATCTAGATCTGCATTGGTAGAGGGAGTTTCCTTATTGGATAAGGAAATTACCCATCTAGGACAAAATAAGTATCTGATTTTTCCTCCTTATTTAGAAGCCTCTAAGTGGATTGAATTGAATTGTGTAGTGAATTGAATATAAAAAGGCCAAGAGGCAACAACCTGGAATGCTAACTCCTAGGAAACAGTATAAATTATAGAGGCTCTTTGGGGGACCAGTTTTATTGAATATATTTAGAACCCTCAATTTTTTAATTTGCTTGTAAAAAAGCGTTTGAAATGTTTGTTCACTAGTAAGTTGAATAGCCCTCAATAGTTTTGTTTACATCCTTTGCATAGGAAACACTTTTCCCCAAACTGTGAACTCTGGATTTAGCACTATGCTATATGAAGATCCCTGAATTAGAAGGCAAAAACCTGGTTTGTGTGTAATTCCTTATAATTTACTATGTTGAGTATGTTGTATCAGTCACTCAACAAGCATTTATTAAGCAGCTGCTATGTACCATGCACTATGGTAAGGACTTAGGATGCAAAAATGAAGTAAAAAATGGTCCCTAATCTCAAGGAGCTTATATTCCATTAAAGAAGACAAGTACCTAAGAATATGCAGCATAAATGTAAAGTTGTGCAATGTGGTTTGGGAGAAGGAAGGCACTAGCAGTTGTGGAATCAGGAAATACTTGATGCAAAAAGAAGGTGCTTGAGCTTTGTTTCAAACGAGTAGAGGGACTCTTGGATGGGGTGGGGGATGTTTGTGGAACAGATAATGCAAAAGACGAGGAAACATAGAATTTCTTCTTTAGCTCAGGATCAGTCATAGATAAGTTCACCAAGCCTCAATTTGGCCTTTGTTTTGCCAGCCTTTTTGTTGATTGAACTTGGACTGTTTCTGTGACTTCTTCTGTTCGTGACTTCTCCTTCCTCAACTCAGCTAGCTACTTTAACTAAGGGTTATCACTTTATTTAGCAAATAGTATAAAATATACTCATTTTGTAATTTTCTTTTTTTTCCTCTTAGGACAAAGTATCAATGATGATGGTGTGTGTTTTTGGCAATTCTTAGATTCTTTTGGCGTTAAGTCTTCACTAGTAACCAAGGAACAAAAATTGTTGTGTCTAAAAGTTTACCAAATTTGTGCTTTTATAAAATGACTGTGTTGCTATCTTCTGATTTTATAAAGTATAATTTTAGGGTGTATATTTTATGTTTTTTAGATACCATTGTCTGGATATGGAGGAACAAGTAATCTTATTTTGGAAGATGTTAAAAAACTCTCAGATAGTTACATGGTAACAATAAATGGCCCAGTACCTGGAAAAGAAAGTAGAATTGTTTTCTCTGTGAGAAATACAGGTTCTCGAGCAGCCTACGTTAAAGCAGTATGTTTTAAGGACTCTCAAGCAAAAGTTGTTTTGGATCCTCAAGTGCTGAGAATTTTGCCAGATAAATTTGTGCTCAGGGAAAGAGCACAAGAGGTACGTTTAATTTCCACATGAAAAACATATTTAGTTTTCCGGATTTAATTTTTAAAAATCTTTTCCAGAGGCTTAAATTTTATATCTAGATATTTATTCAATAAGAAATTAAGTACACATGAATCATGTATGTAGATATGAATGAATAAATTTTTAAAAGTACTTATTAAGTGCTTACTATGTCCCAAACACTGTGATAAGCAGTAGAAATACAAATATAAAAGTGAAGACAGTCCACTCACGGAGTTGGGGAGACAACACATATAGGTAGTGATGAACAAGGAGAGGTATTTTTGGTGTAAAAAATTGCAGGGATTGTGATTGGAACCATAGAGGAGTGAAGATTGATATGCTCTTTCCAGTAGCAATGTCCATGTTAATTTTATAATGGTTCCAGAACAGTAAAATGGGTGAGAGGGATGATGAAAAGATGATTAGGGACTCCAAAGAGGAGTGAGCCATGTGAGTCACTTACCAATAACAACATTGGGGAACCTCAAGGTTAGAGTACTGGAGCTTAAAGGGTTAAGTCCTTCATGGCATGGTGCTAATTGAAACTTAAGTGGGGCCATTTATCATTTCCATTCAATGAAAAGTGGAACATTACCTATCTGAGTTTATAGAAAGTTGAATGTTTTTCAAAGGGAAATAATTGACACAAGAAAGCTATTTTTAAAAGTTTCTATTTTTCTCGGAATCAGATGATCACTTTAATATATAATGCAAGTGAAAAGGAGAAAAATTGTCAAACTACAACATCATTATTGTCAACGATATACTTTTTTAGTGGAGATGAAATATCAAGACAGCAATATCGAAGGTTGGTAAAAGTTTTTTGTTCTTACTCAAGATAGAGAAGAAGGAGCATGGGGCAAATTAATTTCCTTTTCTGTGAGTGACCTTGGGCAAGTCATTTTAACCATTGTTTGATTCTATTTCCTCAACTGTAAAATGGAGATGATAATAGCACCTATGTTGTTGGGTTGTTGTGAGGATCAAGTGAAGTAATATTTTTAAAGTGCTTAGTACAGTGCAGGGCACATATTAGGCATTGTAGAAATACTTAATCAAAGGGTAGGGAACCTGGGGCCTTGAGGTCACATTGATCCTCTAGGTCTTCGAATGTGGCCCTTACGGAGAACAAGTTCTGTGAATTTGGAGTGAGTCAAAGGCCTGTACTTGAGGACTTAGAGGGCCACATGTGGCCTGAAGGCCGCAGGTTCCCCACCCCTGCGCCTTTTGCCCTTGGTGCTCTTCTCTTTTCTACCCACCCAGACTCAAACTGCCAAATTTTTCCTCCTTTTCCTCTTTACCTCCATTCATTCCCGAGTGTCGATCTATGTGTTGGTCTGATTTTTTTTAAGAATCAGATAAATATCTGATTTGTTTGATTTGTTTATTAATTTTTAATTGTTAATTTTAATTGTAATTAATTGTTAATTGTTTGTTTAATTAATTTTTAACATTAATTGTTTAACTTTTTATTATGTGAATGAAGTTTAACTTCCGGGGGCATTGCAGTTCAGAAGAAGATATTTATTATCAATTAACAAATTAATCTTTAAATCATGAAATATGTAGTCGGGATTTTTGAGCAGGGGGACCTTCAAGTTGCCTGATCTTTTGTATCTGTTTAATTTTTTAGATATAAATAGTAATCTAATAAACTATTATATAGTTCTTTGAAGTTTACAAATCCTTATAAACATGCATACAATCACAGCATTATGGTTACATATAGCAGTTCATCTGGGAGCAAAAAAACAAAACCTTTCTCATGATGCCATTCCCACTCATTCTTATTCACTTAATCTTAGTTTTTAAACTCATTTATATTCTCCTTACACTATGCCTTCTTGAACCCTGATTTTATTGTTAGTATCTTTCCTTTCACACTAAACCTTTTCCTCTCATATTTATTCCATCTTTTTGCAACCATAGAAACTTGACTCTTTAAATAACATACTACATACCTAGCTACTTATTCTGTGCTAGATGTTTTTGTTTTCTCCTACACACTGGGCCAAGAGAAATAGTAGGCACATTCTTTGCTCCTCAGTACCATTATCAGGTCTTCCTTTTGCTGTCATCACTCAGTAACCTCTCCTACTTTTCATCTTATCATATACCTTCTTATAGTCATCTACCTACCTTATCTCTCATTTCCTGCTTTTCCAAGGAATTTAGTGCACCTGACTCACTGACTTCCTCTCTCTGACCTCTGTAAGGACTTAACTATATATTTTGAAATCCTTTCAAACTTCACGTGCACTCCAACCTAGTCACCCACTTTGGTTGGTCATATTCATTGCATTATCCATTCCTCTTCATGATCTAGAACTTTCAAATTTGTCTAAGTACTCTATTAATTTCGGTATGTTACACCCTATTAAAATAAACTTTTTTCTTTCCCTTACTTTTTTATGAATGTCATGACAAATGTTGTTGTTTGTCCTTCATTCTTTATAGTTTGAGTGTTTTTCTGCTGCTCACTTATGTTTCCAGCCAATTACTGTACTTTTAAACTCTTTGTTAAGGTAGGACTCCGCTTCCAGTGTGGAGAACGTACTGTCCCAAACTTCAGGGGTTTTGTGCAGCCATTTTCAGAGATACTTCTAGGGACCTGTAAATTTTCCATTTTTCCAAGGTGATATGATCAAAGGAGAGGTGTTTACTCCTTTCCTGGCCTGTGTTCTGGTTTATAAGTGACCACAAGCACTCTTTTCTGTCTTGGAACTGTGAGGAGGATTCCCTCTCCACTGCTGCCCAAGCTCCACCACACCAGGGCTCCTCCTCACCCCAGGATCATCACTCCAGGACTGTGACCCAGAGCCAAGCACAGGCAAAGCAAGAGAATCCTGCCTCAGCATCAGAAAAGAGATCCCTGCAGTCCCCCTCTGATCAGCTGCTGGAAACCGCCACAGCTACTCATGATTCAGTCCCTTGAGGCCTGCTCTGGGTTTACTGTGGCCCCATCTTTGCCTGTGTGGCCTACGCTGAATTGCACTCCTCTCCTAGCCCAGGGCACCAGACCTTTCCTATCAACCATCCAGGTTTTCTTGGGCTGGAAGTTTGTTTCACTCTGTCTTTTTGTGGGCTCTGCTTGTCTAGAATTTGTTTAGAGTCATTTTTACAGATATTTGGAGGGGTGAGCTCAAGCAAGTCACTGCTTTTACTCTGCCATCTTGGTTCCGCCCCGCCCTTGTCATTCATTCTTGAAGAGGACCATGACAACAGGAAGCTGATGTGCATAGCAAGTCAAGATAAATGCTTTCTTAGAAAAGTCAAACAAATATAAGAATGTGTTTCAAGATAGGAATATGTTAAACATGTCTTATATAAAATCTTTTCACAGAGCTCTGTTACATAAGCCAGAAGTGATAGAACAAATACTTCCAGAACATAGCTTGTTGAAGAACATTTGTTTTGATGAAGCATTTCAACATGAGCAGCTAATAAATGAAGGTAGGCACTTCTCTTTGTTAACAACGAAACCATAGAAAACCCCAAACACCATAAGAGTTTAAGACAAACCTTTTTTGCTATTTTCAACAATATCTAAAGTCAATGGTTTTTTTTTAAATTTTGCAGATTTATAATATTTGATTTGCATGATAACAGATTTGTTAAAATTTGAGATTTACGGTTGCCCCCATGTAAACTTTATTGTTTGTGAAAGTGAAGAAAAGGGTAACATTCACCAGCCAAGAAATTTAGACTTAATCATTCTTATTCCAAAAGCCTTTCTGTCACTTACAGAAATTCTTATTGACTTTTAGTTGAACCCATACTATCAGCAATGGCAGCAGAAAAAGCTGTTACTTTACTTTTAGTTCATTAGGCCTGGAGAGTCCATTTAACTCAAGCCTGTAATTTACAGATAAAATTGAGGCTCAGAGACGTACGATGACTTGCCCAGGGATGCTTAGATAGTGGCATAGGCATAACACAGACTCAGGTCTTTTGACTCTTAATCTGATGCTCTTTTTCCTATAGCATGCTGCCTCTTACTCTAAACAATTTTAAACAAATATTTAAATATCTTGGCAGTCAATGCAGGTTATACTAAAAACCATATGATACAATTTGTGCTCTCAGCTGGCTTATTATTTGTTTATTGTTGTATCAGCATTATATGTTGCAGAAAAATATAATAACCTCTGACCTATTTTTTCACCTCAGTTTATTTTCTATGTAAATGTATTTAAGTCATCAGGCATTTAAAGCTACTTATAATCTGGCAATGGCAATTTCCTACTCTTCCAGGCTTCTCGTGTATTCTGTTTACCTCTCCACAGCTACATTGGCATTCTTGCTTCCCCTCATACCATACTCTACCTCCTATCTCTATACCCTTTCTTTGATTGCCCCACTATACTTGAAATTCTCTCCCTATACTTATCCCACTTATTTTCCTTGACTTTCTTCAAAACTCAGCTAAAATAAAACTCCACCTTCTCTAAGTCTCTCTTGGTCTCTCCTGCTCTGCTGCTTTTCCCTCTGAGCTTACCTTTATTTTTGTGTGTATACCTTTGTATACCTAGTTATTTATGTGTTGTTTCCTATATTAGGATGTGAGCTTTTTGAGGGAAGGGGACCATTTTTTGCCCCTTTTTCTATCTCTATCACTTAGCTTGGCACATTGTAAGAGTTTAGTGTTTGTTCACTGACCATTTGTTAAGGCAGCTATAAGGCACAGTTGCTTTTGGGAAGTAGTCCAATAATGATTAAATCCATAGAATTTAAAATTTGAGACCTTATAATTCAGTTCAAGAATTTGGATCCTACTTTGTGCACAGTGCATTTGAAAGTTTTTAAGAAGTAGAATTACATAATCAAGGGGTGAATTAGGAAGATTAAACTGGCAGCAATTTATGTGGTATTTTGGAAAAGTAGAGATTGGCAATGTTACGGTTTTTGAGGTGATGAAGATATGAACTAAGATGAAAATTATTTGGTGGGGATGGAAAGGAAGGGATAGATTAAATAAATTCAAATAATTTTTAAGCACTTTCTTTGTACAGTGAACTGTTCTAGGCTCTGAGAGATTTCAAGAGAAGATCTTGAATAATCACTGTGGGAGATGGAAAATTTAAGTAGCGATCGTGATGGTAGATGGTGTTTTGTTTATAGATGGGGTAAGCAGAGATGTTGGTAAGCAGAGAAAAAGGAGCTAGTGGAGAGGGAAATTGAATATACTGGAATAAGGCAGGATAATTGATAATTCGAGGTCTTCAAGACAATAGAAAACAATGATTCCTGAACCAATATCTGGAAGATTGTGTAAAACAGGAAAGAAGGACAGTTGCCCCAATTTTTAAAACAGGAAAGACTATAGAGTATGCAAAATGAGCTAGTGAGCTTGACTTTGTTTCCTGGGAAAAACCTAGAATGGATCAACAGGGCAATGGTTGGCAAATATCTAGATAGGGAAGCCGTTACTGATTTTCTTTTTAGTCAGTATTACCAAACACCTAGTAGGTAAGTGGGATATAGTAGATATAGTTTACTTAGATTTTAGCCAGAAGATGGAAAAATATGAAATAGGAGAAAGTAAAGCTTGAAGCTATTACCCTTGTTGTGTTTTACCACGTGTGACTGACTATACATCTTAATATTGTTCTGTCCATGTAGGTAGTTTATGTTCAATCCTTCAGGGAACTAAACAAACTAGAAACAATGTGACTGATATGAATTGTTTTTCCCTAGAATGCACAAATTATCTCTCTTGCACTTATTTTGGGGGGCAGAAATTGGGAAGATGACAGAAATTGTTGAATTATGTGGGCTGCACTGGGCTAATTGTGAGCCTGATCTTCTTTGCCTAATGTATAATGATCTAGATTTGCTACATTATCAGATTTGTAATTGCTGGGGTTATTTTAATGTGTCTTCTCAGTTTAGTAGATTTGTTCTTATACCTGTCCTGATAGTATTCAGTAGTTAACAGCTAATCAGTATCATTAATCACCAAAATCTAATAATGGTCTCCAGTCTAAGAAAATAACTCTGACAATATGATCAGTATATCTGCTAGGCAAATTGTAATTATCTGTTTCTTGTGTTGCAGTTGTGTGAAGATTTGTATATATCATAGCATCTTTTTCTATTTTAGTGTGTGATCTTCCTGAACGACCAAATGATGTCCAGTTCTTTTATGGAAACATGCGTAAAATTATTCTTTCTGTAATTGGTGACTTTACTGATCCAATTTCTAATCTTGGTTCTCTTCAGAATTGTTTACAACACAACTTAGCTTCTGACAGGTAATGAGTATAAATTCTTTTACCAAATTTAAAAATATCTTTATCAGACAATGAATTTGTGTAATATTTACGTTGTACTTAAGTGTTTTCCAAAAACTCTAATTGAATGGGTTGGTGATCCTACTTCTAATGATGAAAAGTAGTTCAATTTTGTAAAGTTGATTAGATTTTGTTAACTCTGTGATAAACACAGTAGGGAGCTGTATCTTACATGTTTTTAAGTTATGAGAATTCAACTGTGTGCCTTCAACAAATAAAAAGGAGAGAGAAGTGTATATAGATAGTACTGTATAAGGTTGTAGCTAGAAGAGAAGGGATGGAATCTATCTCTTTGCCTCATTTTCCATGACATGGAGGAAGGAGAGCAAAAATGCCAGGTAGAGGAATGGCAGCACCTCATTAGTTCACAGTTAGAATTCTGTTGCACAAAGAAAAATTCACCATTTTCTAAGAATACTGAGACTTCATGTTAATTTTAGGTTCTACTTAATTTTTCTTTATAGAGTAATTTTGACAATGCATGCTGATACAGACAGAGCATATCCTTGAAATAAGATGTGACTCCATTGTATGCTTGTTATGGATAGAAGGGAATACCATTTTATTACTTGATTTCTTTCATATTTCAGATTCATTCCATTTAAATGGAAATGGAAAAAGCTCTTGATTTAATCTTGGAGGAAGTGGGTTTAAATCCATTCTATAGTGCTTAATATGTACCATGCCGTTTGGCAAGTCATTTAACCTCTTTTGACCTTCAAATTTCCTCATAGAGTTTACGCTAAATTATCTCTAAGGTCTTCTCTAGTTCTTGATAGTATGAGTAGCTATACAACAGTTATCTGATGTCAACAAAATTTCACTGATAATGTCTGTAGTATGTAGTTAGATTCAGTTGAGGTCCTACTCTGCTGCCTTACTGTGATGTAAGGTTGATCCTGGGTTCTCCAAGGAACAGCATGAGTCCTGGAAGATTCAGATTTGACACCGCAAATTTACTGTGTGAATCTTGGACTCCAGGGCCCAAACCCTATATAAAAGCTAGAGAACTTTTTTCCCTTCTCTCTTGCCCCACAAAACCTTTTACTTTTTTCTTCCTGGACTCTGTGCCTTCCCTGTATACATATATGTATTGCCTTTCCATATTTGAATGTTTCTCTTGGTTTCTAGTTGGCATAGATATATTGAGATTTCTATTAATTTTCCCCCAATTCTAGTGGCTTTTTGGTTGTCTTTTATAATCTGTCATGATAACAGTCACATCTATGCTATATAAGTGTGAAATTGGGGCAGCATTCTTTTCAAAAAGATTTCTGGCTTTGCCTTTGCAAGCACAAGAGTTGAGAAAAACAGTTTTATCTTCTTTACTGTGGAAGGAAGGAATTCATTTCCAAGTACCTGAGCTTCTTGCTACTCTGTTCTCCTTAGTTACCATACTGTTTCCCTGACACAGAGCCTTATTAAAAGTTGTATTAATTACTGTGGTCCTCCCCAGGATTACTGCCAGGTGCTAAATTTCTTAACCACAGCAGTTAACATAATTCTTAATTAGGCATGAAGGATTTTTATTTGTTTGTTTTATTTTTTGTATTGATTGAATACCTCCACTACACATTTGAAGTTATTTTGTCCTGTTTACTGTCCAGGTCCTAATTGTTCAAATGAAGATAATACTTATACTATTTGCCTCATAGTTTTATGTGCGTAATGTTTTGTAAACTATAAAGCACATTATTTACTACTATTATTTTCATTAGCAATTACTACTCTGTTACTAGAAAGTATTAATGATGGATATTTTTCTTAGTAATTACTGTGTATACATTGCATGTACTAGGGACTATGATTTTAATTTAGACTTAATTACTAAAAGCAGGATTCAGTTAAGTGACAGTATAGAATTTATATGGCTATTTATTAATCTTCCAATTCAGATTAGTATAAACTAGTTGAATAATTTTTTTTTAAATAGGAGGCTAAATGCAGTGTGATTTCTCTTAGCCCAGCTAAATTCCATAATTTCATTACCAAAAATATTGCAACAATAAAAATAAACTTAATAGATAAAAATATCACCACAATAATATTCCCCACAATAAAAATAAAAACTCAAGAAAAACATTGACAAGCTTCTGATAATGGCCTTATTATTTTAAATAACAATTGCCTGACTAAAATTACATTATGAAAAGTGTAGTTACATATATATACTTGTGGGCTGCTAGGTGAATGGGATAGCCTGAATTCAGTAAAATTTGTTATTAAAGTTTCACTGTAAATTTTGTTTCTATTTTTGTTGAAAAACTTTGAAATCATACATTTTATCTGGTAAATCTCATTTAGGAAATCAAAGGATCACGATTTATGAATTGTGTTGTCAAATATTAGAATTTAAAAAATATGAAACAAATTCTTAAAGTTACTAGTATTACCTAATTACTTCTAATAATGTATCTTATATTCTAATAATGTTAATATTGTTGCTTTTGAACTAATCCTTTAAGTTACCTTAGTATCTTATCTTCCCTTTAAAAGAAAAAAGTTGAGCAAATTAGTCTGATGTAACAGTTGGGATTTTCAGAATTTAGGTTGCCATTTTATTTTATTTTATTTTATTTATTTATTTATTTATTCTTAGGCAATTGGGGTTAAGTGATTTGCCCAGGGTCACACAGCTAGTAAGTGTCAAGTATCTGGTCTGAGACTGGATTTGAACTCAGGTCTTCCTGACTTCAGGGCCGATGCTGTATTCACTGCACCACCTAGCTGCCCCAAGGTTGCCATTTCTTAACAGAGGAGAACAGTGTGTATTGTAGTCATTAATTATCTGGAACCAGAACTGTGCCTTCTCCTCCTAAAAGTTGAGACCAAAAAGGAATTCCTTTTCATTATAGGATACTCGTTAAGTCAACGTTTTTATTATGAACTTTGACCCATGAAGCACACCACCTATATTATAAAATGTTATAGTTGTGAATTGTTAGAAATGTAAATTATCACCATACTAAAACATGCTTTGAATGACTTTAATGTTTTTGTTTTGTCTAACATTAGCATTACAAATAGTAAGATATGTCAGCTGATGCATTTTTTTCCCTCTTTTTTTCCATTTTTTTCCCCTCCTTTGGGATTCTTAAATCCTAAAGTGAATCTAGAAATTCTGAGAGACATATCAACAATGTTTCTTTGGATGTTCTTCCAGTGAAAGGACCTCAAGGTTCACCCCTTCCTTCACAAGCTTCTGCTGAACCATGTCAAAATACATTAATTTCTCAACAAACATGGACTGTTCAACCAGAACACTTAATTCTGAAAGCTCCTTCTGTTTGTGAGTATATCAAGTCATATATGTCAGGCTGGGTATAAATATCATATCTTTCTTTTCTTTGGTTCATTTTACTCTGCATGTATATACTCATTTTAATTGGGTTAAACTAGGAGTTTGTTTTCAAGATCTTACCCATCTCTCCAATAGAGGTCTTTCTTAGATTTTGGTCATAGCATTCCTTTCTATTCGTTGTTTGATGGAATAACACTGTAGATTGTAATCTTTCAAACCTTCCCTAACTATAGATTCTCACCTTTCTAGTAACTGTTCTCCAATTGTTCAGACACTGGCAGTATATGTTATATTACCTTTAATACCATTTAGATAGGAAACCTCCATGTATGTTGTAAATAACAACAGTTTAAGCCAGTGAAATATTTAGCTGTGCCACATTCTAGAGGAAGTAGTACAGCATAAAAATCTTTACAGTTCTTATTACCATTTCCCTTTATTCTTAATTCGCTGTTGCCATATTTGTACCTGAGGGAAATAAAAAATACACGCCTTGATTTGGCCTTTTGACTTGGGATAAAATAACGTTTTTCTTATTGATGTAATTGTGCAGTTACACATTTTATTAGCACTGATTTTTAAGAATAAAAAATGCTCAAATTAAATATTTAATATTTCCTTTGTGTTTTATACACCAGGTGCCATGACAAAAACTGGACAGTTACATATTTTAAATAATTCTGTTAGGTCGCTGAAATTTGAACTCTCTTGGCCAGCTCATTGTCTTACAGTAACACCACAGCATGGCATTATTGACCCAGAGTACGTAAGACTTTTCCATTCTTTTTTAGTTCCACTTAAATATTTAAGGTTCAGATGGTGTGTCTTTATAATCCATAGTAGTTCCTGCAGTATTATTTTAAGTTGACCAAAGTATCTCTTCATTATTTTATTAACAGGAAATGTAGTTAATGGCTGTAGATAGTAGAATTTATATAATTCTACTTCTTTTGTGGGTAGATGAATGAAAAAACATTTATTAAATGTGCCAAACATTGTATGTCAAGAGCTGAGAAGACAGATAGAAAAAGGGAGACAGTGATTACCCTGAAGGAGGCTCACACATTCTAATTGAGATAGAAAAAAGAAAGTTCAACTGCAGGGCAGATAGACCCAGAAGTCCTAAGAGTATTTCATCATGGTGGGTGGCAAAGCCCAGGAGTCCTTCAGTTAAGTTAGAAGGTCACTGTTGGGACATAGAAATAAGGCAAGTGGTAATTCCTGGCGGACTTTAGGAAGCAGTGTAAGAGCAGGTAGCAAGACCTGATGTATTTCCATCTCACAGGAAGAAATAAGAGTTGATGATTCCCTTCTTGTCCAAGCCTTATGAGCAGTCAGGCAGCCCAGCTAGGTTCTAGGCAGCCTGACGCAGGGGAGAGATGGTGAGTAGGGAAGGGAATCCTTAGTGTGGGTTTGATTGCTTTTATTTTTCACTGCCTTTGGTAAATGAGCTTCTTAGTGGACCTTATTGACATTGAACAACAACTATTCAGTAGGCAGAAGAGAGAGACTTCTTGGACCAAGTCATTAGAATCTAAGAAATGAAAAGGACCCTAGAGGTTAAGACCAACCTGTACCTGACCAGAAATACCTTTTGTATTAGCCTCAAAGTGATCATCTGGTCACTGTTTACAGAACTCTAGCAACAGGGAAGGCACTACTTTTTGCACAGCTAAGTTTTTCTTAATGTTAAACTCATATCAGTGTCTCTGAACTTCCACCTTTGGGGCCAAACAAAGAATTCTTGCATAAGAATAGTTCTTTAAATTCTGTAAGATAGATATTTCTAGACAAACATCTCCAGTTTATTTGACCAAGATCTTGACAACCACAGTCAGTCCTTGGTGCTGTCAAATGGTTTGATATAAAAAAAAGGTATGATTTTATAATGACATTAAAGAATATCTGTTACCTTCTCTTTTGTTGCTATAACCTAAAGACCATGGGACCTTTCCATTTCACTTGTAGCGCACGCATGCGTGCCTGTGCACACACACACGTGCCTGTGCACACACACACATACACACTGTCACCTGAATTAAGATGTGACCTCCTTGAGAGCAGAGACTCTTGCCTTTTTCCTTGTATACCCAACCCAGTTCTTTGTGCTTAATGAATGCTTTTCCATTTATTCTATACCATGAGCTGTAGTTGAGGCATAGTGACTTGAATGAGGTGGTGTCGGTTTCCTGGGTTTCTGTTTCCTGCTAACCATTTTTCTTCACAGTCAAAAGATCAATTATTCATTGATGAGAAAACAAGTATAGTACAGGATGGGGCTGGGGGATGAGTGAGGAGAAAAGAATGCAATAAGTAAATAGTTTCTTTTCAGTTTGAGATCTTTCTAAAGTGAGGGGAAAGGAAAACTTCATAGGGGCAGTGATCTTGTACAGAGGCTTGAAAAGAAGATAAGAATACTGAGAGGCAGAGGTAAGGAAGGGAATGCATTTCTTGGCGTGAGGGACAGCCTGTACAAATTCAAGGAAAGAAGTGATGCTTGCAGTGTAAGTTTTTTAGCTATAGTTTCTCCAGCAATTTTTTTAATTCTGTATTTGCCTTTTTTGTTTTTCTGTTAGATTTGCTCAAAATAGAAGACCTTAAAATCTTTTACCCTTGTTATATTAATTTCTGTGTCTTATAATTCAGCTAATTTTTCCTTTGGGAATTTAGATGCTAAGGCATTTTGAGCATTTAAGTTTAATGTTGATGTTGGTTTGTGTCTGTGCTTCTTTTTAGCATGATATAGTTCTTTTATTTGTCTTTTTTGTTATGAATCTGTTTTTGCTTTGTCTGATATAGTGATTGTAGCTCCTGCTTTTTGAGATTCACCTGATGCATAGTAAATTTTTTCCTCACTATTATTCTTTGTATGTCTTTGTTTTTTAGGTGTGTTTATTATAAGCAGCAGATTGGGTTTTTTTTTTAACCTTAATCAATCTGTCACTCTCTTTTGTTATATTGGATTGCTTAATCCATTCACATTTCAGGTCATGAAAGTTTGATTTATATTTTTTCCCCATATGTCTCTAAAATGATTTTTAACGTTAGTACTTCTGCCATCTTTTTCTGTGAAGAGAGTACTTTGTCTTTTCAGTTATCTTGTTTTAATCTACTTTTAAGATGCTCTTATTCCTATTAGCTTTCTTCCCTTCACTCTTAAGTCCTCCACTCTTTTTTTTTTTAACCTCTTTCCATAGTTTTGGAGTTGTGCTCCAAAAATCCTGGTTCTTCTCCTTTTCAGCTTATATGGATTGTTAGTTTTAACTTTTAATTTTCTGTGCCTTTTTCTAAAAAGGATTTCCTTGGAGTGGTGGATCAGTGGAACAGGTTGGGTATGTACGACACAACAGTCAGTGACTATGGTAATCTACTGTTTGATAAATCCAAAGACTCTGGCTTCTGAGATAAGAACTCACTATTTAACAAAAACTGCTGGGAAAACTGGAAAATAGTATGACAGGAACTAGGCATAGACCAACATCTTACACCCTACACCAAGATAAAGTCAAAATAGGTACATAATTTAGATATAAAGACTGATACTGTAAGCAAACTAGGACAGCAAGGAAAGTTTACCTTTTGGATCTTTGGAGACGGGAAGAATTTATGACCAAACAACAGATAGAGAACATTATGAAATGCAGAAAGGATACATTAAATTAAATTAATTAAATTAAAACGTTTTTGCACAAACAAAGCCAATGCATCCAAAATTAGAAGGGAAGCAGAAAGCTGGGAAAGAATTTTTTACAGGCAGTGTCTATTATAAAGGCCTCATTTCTAAAATATATGGAGAACTGAGTCGAATTTATAAGAATATAAGTCATTCCCTGATTGATAAGTGGTCAACGGATATGAATAGGTAGTTTTCAGAGGAAGAAATTAAAGCTATCTATAGTCAAATGAAAAAATGCTCTAAATCACTTGATTAGAGAAATGGACATAAAAATGACTCTGTGGTACCACATCACACCTGTCAGTTTGGCTAACATGACAAAACAGGAAAATGATAAATGTTGGAGCAGATGTGGGAAAATTGGAACACTAATGCATTGTTAGTGGAGTTGTGAACTGATCCAGCCATTCTAGAGAGCAATTTGAAACCATGCCCAAAGGGCTATAAAATTGTGCATAGCCTTTGACCCAGCAATAAGGCTGTATCCCAAAGAAATCATACAAATGGGAAAAGGACCCACATGTACAAAAATATTTATAGCCACTCTTTTTGTGGTGGCAAAGAATTAGAAATTGAGGGGATGTCCATCAATTGAGGAATGGCTGAACAAGTTGTGGTATGTGAATATAGTAGAATACTATTGTACTATAAGAAAATAATGAGCAAGCAGACTTCAGAAAAACCTGGAAAGACTTACGTGAACTGATGCTGAATGAAATGAGCACAGAACCAGGAGAACATTGTACACCGTAACAGCCACATTGTGCGATGACTGACTTTGATAGTCTTAGCTCTTCTCAGCAATGCAAGAATCTAAGGCAACTCCATAAGACTGATGATAGAAGATGCTATCCATATCCAGAAAAAGAACCCTGGAGTCTGAATACAGATGGAAGTGTTTAAAAAAAAAAAAAGATTTCTTGTTCTTATTACTTCTCTTAACTTTCCATCTATTCCAGTCTTTTATTCTTTGATTTGTGGAACTTAGGTTTATTTATTCCTTCTTTAGCTTCTGTATTCTTTATGGAGTTAAAGTTTTTAAGGTACCTATTTTGAGTTGTCTCTTCTACATAATTTGTGTTATATTGCCTTGTAGGTCTTGCCCCTTTGCCTCCTTTTTCTATTATGCGCCTCACTCTTTGAAATACCAATTCCTTTAGGTTAATAGAGAAGAGAACCTTTGACTCATGGAAGGAATTTTACTATATTCCTAATTGTACAGTTCATTACTACCTTTTGCCCTTCTCCATGATCACTTTTTCTCACTTGCCTTGAAATCTTCTTCATGGATCCATGCCTTTCCACTTTTCTTGATGTGATTTGCCTCCAGAGATCTAATTCCTTTTTCTTGAAACAGGATGAGTGGTCCCTCAAAACACTAAATCCCTGCAAATTATATTCATTGTAATTCACCATCTCCATTTATAAACTATTTCTCTTCCTCCATGGGGTCATTCTTCAGTAGGACACATTCCCACTACTGCAACAAGATTTCTACTTTTCTTTACCCTCTTTTCAATCCTTGCCTTTGCCTCTTTGTTCCCCTATAGTCTTTTTTTTCTTGAGAAGGTACAAAAGTTATTTTCCCTTCATTGTTAAGCTTTGACTTACTTAGAGTACATCACATATTTTCCAATAACAACTTCTTCATCCTTTGTCTCCTTTTATGCACCCTCTCATTTTGCAATTTAGTCTCACCAAAATTCATTCACTTGGATGTGAGGTTTGCACCATGATGTTTTAAATCTGTTTTTCTACTATCTCTTCTTTGACTTCCATTTTTATTCTTGTTTCTTTGTATAATTTAAGAAAGAACTCTCTTAATGATCTTTCTTTCTTATTCTTTGATTATGTGGTCTTTGGTTGCTCTATTTGTTTACTTTTCTTGTATTTCTGTTGTCTGTGGTATTAGAGAAAACAGTTTTGTTCAGTTCTGATTTTCTTTCTACAGATGTTTCAAACAGCCTTTTAATTTTTTCCAGTTATACTCTGTATCAGGAAGATTTTTATTAGACTTTGCTCTAACCTACGTTAAAATGAATGTGTGGATACTAGAAACATTGACAGAGGCTCGCAGGGCAAAAAACAGAGTCCGTGAGAAAAGCATGAAAAGGATTGATGTATATTTAGTCTGACGAGGAGAAGGGCCAGAGTTTAGTTGGTTATATGTAGCCATGTACAAATGATAACAATCTGTTATCAGTGTCAGTCTAAAGAAATGGAAATTGATTTAACATATAATGGGAGAAATTCCTGTTGCAAATTTCAGACTCCCAATATTACACTGCATTTGCTTCTCATGTACTTTGTATTAATTTACTTGTATAAATGTTGGCGGCCCCCGTCTTGCCCCAGCAGTGTCATCTCCTCCAAGGCAAGTACTGTTTGATTTTTATCTTTGTATTACAAGCATGCAGGCACTTAATAAATGTTTTGTGGTTGTGAGACATGGTCTACCTTCCTCACTCTCTGGTCCACCCTCCTCATTTTATTTTATTTTATTTTTAATTTTTAATTAATTTATTTTGAATTATCAACAATTACATAAGCTTTTGAGTTTTAAATTTTTCTTCCCTTCCCTACCCACTTCCCTCCCTCCCCACCTCCTTCCCAGAGACTGCACGCAAGCTGATATAGGCTATACATATGTATTCCTATTAAACATATTTTCACATTAGTGATGTTGTAGGTAAGAATTAGAACCAATAGGTAGAACCACCAGAAAGAGGAAACAACACAACGGAAGAAAAAAAATAGCAAATAGTATGCTTCTATCTGCATTCAAACTCCATAGTTCTTTCTTTGGATGTGGATAGCATTTTCCATCATGAGGAGTTTGGAGATGTCTTAGATCCTTGTATTGCTGAGAAGGGTTAAGTCTGTCAATATTAGTCATCGTACAACGTGACTGTTACTGTGTACAATGTTCTCCTGGTTCTGCTCATTTCACTCAGCATCAGACCATACAAATCTTTCTAGGTTTTTCTGAAGTCAACCTGTTCATTTCTTATAACACAATAGTATTCCATTACATTCATATACCCCAACTTGTTCAGCCATTCCCCAATTGATGGGCATCCTCTCAGTTTCCAATTCTTTGCCACCACAAAAAGAGCTGCTATAAATATTTTTGTACATGTCGGTCCTTTTTCCATTTGTGTGATCTCTCTGGGATATAGCCCTAGAAGTGCTATTGCTGGGTCAAAGGGTATGCACATTTTTATAGCCCTTTGGGCATAGTTCCAAATTGCTCTCCAAAATAGTTGGATCGCTTCGCAACTCCACCAGTAATGCATTAGTGTTCCAATTTTCCCACATCTTCTCCACCATTTATCATTTTCCTGTTTTGTCATGTTGGCCAGTCTGATAGGTGTGATGTGGTATTTCCAGAGTTGTTTTGATTTGCATTTCTCTAATCAGTAGTGATTTAGAGGATTTTTTCATATGACTATAGATGGCTTTAATTTCTTCATCTGAGAAGTGCCTGTTCATATCCTTTGACCATTTAGGAATTGGGGAATGACTTGTATTCTTATAAATTTGACTTAATTTTCTATATATTTTAGAAATGGGGCCCTTATCAGAGAGACTGATAGTAAAAATTCTTTTCCAGTTTTCTACCTTCCTTCTAATCTTGGTTGCATTGGCTTGCTTTGTGCAAAAACTTTTCACTTTAATATAATCAAAGTTATCCATTTTGCTTTTCATAATGTTCTCTATCTCGTGTTTGGTCATGAATTCTTCTGTTCTCCATAAATCTGATAGGTACACTATTCCTTGCTCTCCAGGTTGCTTACAGTATCAGCCTTTATATCTAAGTCATGAACCCATTTTGACTTTGTTTTGGTATATGGTGTGAGATTTTGATTTATGCCTAGTTTCTGCCATACTCTTTTCTAGTTTTCCCAGCAGTTTTTGTCAAAGAGTGAGTTCTTATCTCAGAAGCTGGGGTTCTTGGGTTTATTAAATAATAGTTTACCATAGTCATTGACTACTGTTCTTGCATACTTAACCTATTCCACTGATCCACCACTCTATTTCTTAGCCAGTACCAAGCAGTTTTGATGATTGCTGCTTTATAATACAATTTAAGATCTGGAATGGCTAGGCCACCTTCCCTTGCATTTCTTTTCATTAGTTCCTTTGATATTCTGGACCTTTTGTTCTTCCAAATGAGTCTTGTTATTTTTTCTAACTCTATAAAATAATTTTTTGTAGTTTGATATGGCACTGTATAAGTAAATTAGCTTTGGTAGAATTGCCATTTCTATTATATTATCTTGGCCTACCCATGAGCAGCTGATGTTTTTCCAGTTATTTAGATCTGCCTTTATTTGTGTGAAAAGTGTTTTGTAATTGTGTTCATATAGTTCCTGGTTTTGTTCCGAGAGGTAGGCTTCCTAAATATTTTATAATGTCTACCTACAGTAACTTTAAATGGAATTTCTCTTTCTATCTCTTGCTGTTGGGCTTTGTTGGTAATATATAGAAATGCCAATGGTTTATTTGGATTTATTTTATAGCCTGCAGCTTTGCTGAAGTTGTTTATTATTTCAAGTAGTTTTTTACCTGATTCTCTTGGATTCTCTAAGTATATCATCATATCATCTGCAATGAGTGATAACTTTGTTTCTTCTTTGCCTATTCTAATACCTTCAATTTCTTTTTCTTCTCTTATTGCTAAAGCTAATGTTTCCAGTACGATATTGAACCACAGTGGTGATAATGGACATCCACACACCCCTTTATATTGATCATGCCTCTTTTTTAACAATGGTTATGATCAATTTTGCAGGGTATGTTACCTTGAATTGCATCTTGAACTTTAAATAATGGAACACATTATTCTATTCCCTCCTGAAGTTTCTGCTGGATGCATAATAATCTTGTGCTATTCAAATTTCCTTTTCTTTATATTTGAAGGTCTTTTTCCTGGTGACTTTCAGAATTTCTCATCATTAAAATTATGAAATACTACTTCTGTGTAACTTGGAGTTAGCAGCATAAGATTTTTTTTTCCTGGAGGCAATCAGTGGATTCTTTCTATTGGAATTGTTTTCTTTTTCAGAAGTTCTGGAAAGTTTTTTTTATATATAATTTCTTGCATTATACTGTACAGATTATTTTAAAGAATTATCATTTTCTTCCATTTTTATTTGGAGGTTTTTATCAAAGGATTAATGATATTGTAAAACTATAAAAATATGGTGAGTGTTGAATGAATAGCAGGAGTGGTAATATGGAATGAAAGTACTGATTTTTTTTTTTTATAGTAGCTGTGGGGAAAATGAAGATAATTTAAGTCAGTGCTTGCCAGGATTAGAACTGTGATGTCTGTCTATGACCTGGCTTTGTGTTGTGATTATTTGTTGTTGTTGTATAGAAAGTGTTTATGTATTTGAAATTCTTTTTGTTTAGGAGTCGACTACTAATTCTTGTAAGCCCCAATTCGTCACTTGCCACAAAATCCTCAGCATTTCCATGGAGTGGTCTTATCTATATACATTGTGACAATGGACAAAAGGTAACTAGCAAAGATTTTATTTTGGATCTTTTTACTTCAAAAATTGAACCTTTACATGTGTTGGCTCCTGTTTTTACTGGTGAGGCTGCTGGTAGTCATATGCTTCGCTTTTAAAAGGAAAGAGCATGGGAAAGGGTGTAACTTTTGGTCCTTAATTACTACCACTCTTGTGAACCTTCCGAACTTCCCTTTCACCCAAAAAAAGGCTTTATTTCTTGAAAAAAAAAGCTCAATTCATCTGTTAAACATCATTAGGGAATGAATCCTTCCACATAAATGAATTTCCCAGATTTTTTTGCTTTTATGAAAATCAGTTATTTTACTCTATTATAACCATTCCCTCTCAGATTATTGAGGGAGATAGAACTATCTGTCCCATATTGAATGGCTACAAGTTCTTGATTTTTCTGAACAGTTGTTCTGTAAATATATTCAGTGATTCTTCTTGTTTCAGCACCCATGGTTTGCTGTTCTCATATAATCAGAACCTTAGAGCTAACGGGACCTTATGGCTAATATGATCCAACCCCTAGATTGTGAGTAAAGTGAGGTTTAGGCAAATTTCAACTTATTCCAGATCATGCAACTGGTTATGCCAGAGTTATGATTACAGCACAATTTTCTTGTCTAGTGTTACTCTTGCTATAAAACACTGTTCCCTCATCTTTCTTCCTCTTTCATCTGTTGTCTTGAATCTAATTTGATAATTGGAGGTTGTGAAGGGAAAACCAGTAACCTAGTCTAATAAGATCATCATTTTTATGTGTAAAATTAAGGCTTCTAAGTCAATAAGTACTGACATGAGGATAGTTCTGTGCCTCATTTGTGGGAGAAAAATGCATTAAAAATTTTTTCTTTTGCTACTTAGAGACATGTTCTATATAGTCAAGTCTGAACATGTAAGTCAGTTTACTAGATAGCAGTTGGCTACACCATTTTAGATACCATCTTTGCTGGATTTGTTGGAATGTTTTTTGACTTTTGAAAGAAAGTAGTAATAATCAGGATATTGAGTGCTTAAGTGCCTAAGATATTCACAGAAACTGTGCTATAGTTATAGTTTAACTCAGAGTTCATCTTATTAGCCTCTAGGAGCCTTAAATCAAGAATCTCTTGTTATTTGAAAACTGGGCAAAACACCCTCTCGCAATTGAAATGTATAAGAAGTAATTTTAGGGAGGAAGACACTAATTAATAGCAGAATGGGGTTCAGGAAAATCTTCGTGTAGAATGTAGGACATTAAGAAAGGAGTATGTTACAACCATAGTGTGTAGCTGTTGCAAAATCAGAGATACAGGAGAGTGTGGGGAGCAGCAGGAAGGCTAGTTTGACAAGACCATAGATTGTGTGCAAGAGAAAATATATCATAAGGCTGGAAAGATAGTTTTGAGCCTGATTATGAAGAGCTTAAATGCCAGAAGAATTAGCATTTGATTTTAGAAGTAATAGGGAGCTGCTGAAGTTTATTGTGTTATAATAAAGGCATGACATATTCAGACCTGTGCTTTAGGAATATAACTTTGACAGCCATGTGAAAGATGGATTGAAAAGGAGAGAGGCTCGATGCAGCGAAGCTTGCTAGGTTGTGAAATTATACAGGTGATAGATGATGAGAATATAAATTACGATGATGGCCATTTGAGTAGGGATAAGGGAACAGGTGAAAGAGATATTATGAAGGTGGAAGCAGCTGATTGGATACGTAAGGTAAGAAATTGAGTCAAAGATGACTCTGAGATTGTGAACCTAGGCGACTAGAAGGATAGTGGTGCCCTTGACAGAAAAATGAAAGTTTGGAAGAGGAATGACTTTGAAAGAGGGGGATGGGAAGAGAATGTAGGGTTTGAGATGCCATTGGGATATCTAATTCAAAATAATAGTTGGTATTTGGTAATATAGGACTGGAGTTCAAGGAGAATGAGACAAGAGCTGGATGTATAGATCTGATCTGGGAGTCAGCATTTGTGTGGAGAGCTGATGAGGTCACCAAGACAGAGAGTGTAGAGAAAAAAGAGGGTCCAGGAATAGAGCCTTGGAATGCTCCCACAGTTAGGAGGGGATGCAGAATCACTGAGTTAAAAGGGATCTCAGTGGCTATCTTGTTCAACCCATACCCAAAAGGAATCCCCACTATAATATACACAAGTGATCATCCAGTTTTTGGAAGGAGAGGAAACCTACCACGTCTCTAGGCAGCCCATTCCACTTTTGGACAGCTCTAATTGTTAGCAAATTTTTCTTGACATCAAGCCTAAATTATCCTCTTTGCAACTTCCATCCGTTGCTTCCAGTTCTACTCTCTGAGGCCAAATAGAACAAAACTATTTTCCCCTGCATACTGTAGCCGCATAGATACTTGAAGACATATTAGGTCTCCTTTGAATCTCTTCTTAGGGTTAAATATTTCTACTTCCTTAAACTGATCTTTATGAGATGTGAACTCAAGGTCGTTCACAATCCTTGTTGCCCTCCTCTGGACACTCTAGCTGATTATTGTCCTTAGACTGTGGTGCCCAGAATTAAGCACAGTACTCCAGAATGAAGTATGATGAGGGCACACTAAAGTCAAGACTTTGAACTTATTGTAGGAAATTGTGTCCCTCTGTGCATTCTGGGATTGTATTAATTCTTGACTCATTGAGCTTGCATTCCACTAAAATCCCAAGACCTTTTTCAAAACTATTGTCTGTCCCTGTTTTCCCCTATCTTATCCTTGTAGAGTTGATACATGTTGAACTGAATGTATTTTTTCACCAAAAAGATATACTTTAAAGAAAATAAAACCAACCTCGTTCATATATATAGCATCTGTGGGAGATTTTTGAAGATTGTTATCTCAAAATAAGTTTTCTATCTAATAATTACTTTGTGTAAATTTAGCCATCTTAAGAGATCTATTAATATGTAGGGTATGAAATAGAAAAGAATCGCTTTTTGGAAATACATAACTCCCTGGTACACTGAAGGAATGGTTTAATTGGTTCTTTGTGTGAAAGAATGCTTGTGTAGATGTCTATGTTCCGTTTCAAGGAGATATGTTTAAAAGCAGTCACCTATTAAGTTTGTTAATATGCTTTTGCATATTAAAATTTAAAAACAAGTACATTTTTAAAAAATTTATATTTCCTTTCCTTTTTTTATTTCAAAAGGTTGTAAAGGTACAAATTCGAGAAGACATTATTAAGGAAGTTCCTTCAACTAGCTTGGCTTCTAAACAAATTTTAACATCTGAGTCTCCAGTGAGTCATATGCTAAAACTATTTACAAAACCACCCTCAACAAAAGTTGAAATAAAAACTAAAACCATCACTTTTCCTGAAACAGAACCCGGTGAAACCTCAGGTATTAAATCCCAAAATCACTTAATTAAAAGGCTCAGTGCTGTAAGTTCTACCTCTGTTTTTATGCATAAAGCAATGATAGATGTAATAATTTGTATTTGAGTTTTTTGGGGGGAGGAAGGTGGAGAGAATGAGATATCAGCATCAAAAATTATGTCATATCTTAATGTTGGATTTTAAAAACTTGAAATCTTATATTTCTTGATAGTTAATGGAGCTAGGTGCTATAGTGCATTGGTGTCAAACTGAAATTAAATTAGATCCTGTAGGCATAATATTGACTTAGAAAACCACAAATTAACATTATCTATGCCCTGCTGTATTTTAATATTTTTTTGTTAAACATTTCCCAGTTGCATTTTAATCTAGTTCTGGCCACTGGGTAGTTTTGCCCACTCGACTTGGATTCTGGAAGACTTGAGTTTATATCCTACCTCAGACACTTAAAAGCTGTTTAACATTGGGCGAGTCATTTATCCTCTCCTAGCTGCAGTTTCCTCATCATAAGGATAAAGCACCCCCTCACAGAGTTAAAAGTGAGATAATTTATTTAAAGTGCTTTCTAAGCATTAAAATACTATGTAAATGCTAGCTGTCTGTAATAATGAGCTCAAGGAAAACAAATAATTGAAATGTACAGATATTTCAAGAACCTCATGCTGACAAAGACAGACAAAGCCTGCCTATTGTCATCAATTCCACAAAAACATTAGGTGAAACTGTTACAAGATAGAAGATTAATTGTGGCAGAGAAATTCAGATTATAAGAGCTTGAAGTAGGTCTTTTCAGAATTCTAAGACTATGAGGTAGCTAGGTGGCTCAGTGGGCCTGGAGTCAAGAAAACATGGGTTTCCCACTTTCTAGCTGTGATCCTGGGCAAGTCACTTAATGTTTCTTTACCTCAGTTGTCCTCATCTGTATAATGGAGATAATAGTGCTTAGCCAGGGTTGTTGTGAGGAGAAACAACTTTGAAGTAAAAGCCTACATGAGAGAATTTTCAAGGCCACCATTTTCCTCTTAATGAATCCTCCCTGTCAGCCCTACCCCTGCCAAGCTTTTTTTTTTTT